CCGCCAGGGCCGACGTGTACAGCCCCGACGCCAGCGCCGCGCTGGCCGCGTACGCCGCCCACCTGCGCGACTCGCGCGTCCGCCTGGCCGAGGGGTGCAGGTCCAGGCTGGCCGAGCTGGCCGAGTACGGGGTCGTGGTTCCGGAGGAGGGCGACGATGGCGGCGGTGGTGGCGACGAGCAAAACGTCTCGGCCAAGGAGAGGACGATGCGCGAGATGGCCAGGGTGTTTGGCGAGATGGAGCGCGAGATGGAGGACATTCAGCGGGATCTGGAGCGGCTTGGTCGTGCGTGAGAAAAGTCAAGTCCCTGTCGGTAGACAGTCCACTTATACTCACAACCACGAGCCCCGTTACGAATCGGAGGAGAATGACTTTCTTGCTTTGTTATACAAGTCGGATACGTGCCATGTCCGATTAGGGGTCAGGGCACTGCTCGTCTACGATCTAGATGTATGAGGATCTATCCCCGAGCCGGTCGAGCGCCAAGAGTTGGAAACAAAAAGGAGATCCCCCCGGGAGGTTACCACGCCGAGCCCGTCGATATATCCCAAATGCTTCCCGCAAAATCCGCCTGTTGTTGTATTTTGTTCCAATTTTGCCAATCAGTCAAATTGCCGCCTCAAAAAAGCCACATCCGCCACCCTCGTCACCTAACCCTTGACCTTGAAGATGGCCTCGGCCAGGCGGCCGACGTTGTCGCTCGTGATGCCGGCGACCGAGATGCGGCCGTCCTTGGTGGCGTAGACCGAGTGCTCCTTGGCCAGCGTGTCCATCTCGGCGGCGCTGAGGCCGGTGTAGGCGAACATGCCGATCTGGCTGGTGATGTGGGACCAGTCGTGCTTGGACCCCAGCTTCTCCAGGTTCTCCTTGAGCAGGGCGCGCATGGTGATGATGCGGTCGGCCATCTCCTTGACCTCGCCAAGCCACTGCTTGTGCAGGGCCGGGGTGTTGAGGATCTCGGCCGCGATGCGGGCGCCGTGGATGGGTGGGTTCGAGTACATAGGGCGGACGAGGATCTTGATCTGCGAGTCCACACGCTTCTTCTCCTCGGCGGACTCGGTCACGACGGAAAAGATTCCCGCGCGCTCGCCGTACAGGCCCATGTTCTTGGCAAAGGACTGGGCCAGGCAGACGTTGTGGCCCTGGGCGACAAAGTGGCGCAGGGCAAAGGCGTCGCGATCGACGTCGCCGCTAGCGAAGCCCTGGTAGGCCATGTCGAAGAAGACGTAGTGGCCGGCCCCCTTGACGGCCGCCTCGATCTCGCGCCACTGCTCCTGCGTCGGGTCGACACCTGTGGGGTTGTGGGCGCAGGCGTGGAAGAGGAAGATGCTGCGCTTGGGCGCGGCCTTGACGTCGGCCACCAGGCCCTCAAAGTCGAGCCCGATGGTGTCCTTGTTGTAGTAGCGGTACTTCTCCACCTTGAGCCCCGAGTGGTTGAAGACGGCGGCGTGGTTGGCCCACGACGGGTTGGGCAGGTAGACCGTCTTGGCGCCGGGGTACCACTTGGCCAGGAAGGCGCCGCCGATGCGGAGGGCGCCGGTGCCCGAGATGGACTGCGTCACGGCCGTGCGGCTGAGCACGTCGCTGTTGCCGCCATAGGCCAGCTTGGCACCCGCCGCCGTGAACTCGGGCACGCCCGTGATGCCTGCGTACTCCTTGTTCATGCGCGACGACACCACCTTCTCCTCGGCCTGCCTGACCGACGGCAGCACGTACGGCTTGCCCTTGTCATCACGGTAGGCGCCGACACCTATGCGCAACAGCGTATGTGTGAGTCAATGGCTCGATATATTGCGGGTTTGGTAGCGGGGATCGTACCGAGGTTGATCTTCTTGTCGAAGCTGTCGGCCTTGAAAGCCTCGGTGATGCCTATCCAAACGCAATCGCAGACGTCAGCCATTTTCCCATTCTCTGCCACAACTTCAACTCCCAAAGAGAACCAACATACCCAGAATGGCCTGCAAGTTGGCGCGGTCGAGAGGCAGACCGTCAGCAGGGCGATCGTTGGGCTGTCGATCGAGAGATCACTGTGGCCACGACTTACATCCTAAATCACAATCGAGTTAGCCAGGCCAGCTCCGCTCCGTTTGCAAGGATGCCGCCGGCGCGGGAGCTCAACAACATACCGGAGGACCCTGCGGGACGTCGGCCCACGTCGATGCCAAGCGCACGGCGGGGCTGAACCTGGCCGCAACTATGGTCCTGGGGGCGATGCGCCTCGAGGCGATCCTCATTGATGAGAGCATCTTGGACGGCTGTGGGGGGCTAAAGGGGAAAGAGGCAATGGAGACGGGAAAAAAAAAAAAGGACAAGATCGACTTGTCGGCAGGAGGTTGGCTTTTGTGCCAGCCAAAATATCACGAGGTTTGAGACGAGGTCTGGTGGTTAGCGGCTGAAGAGCTTCCCCTCTGGATGGGAGATCCAGAAAAATTGTCATGACACCACACGCCCTGGGCTGGCCGGCCCGCCGCGGATGGATGCGAGGGAAAATAGTGGGGCAGTGATCGTGCCACCCTCAGCCGACTTGCGCACCAATCATTGGGAGCGCAGTGACGCCGGCCAATGGGCGAGAACTTCATGGACCAAGCCCCTGAATTGAGCTACAAGTGGCCAACCACACGCCATCCAGGCCACGAATTGAGAAAGAAACATAAAATAATAACATAAAATATGACGCCTGATATCAACCTTTTCCAAGGCTATCGACTAAATACAATGCTTGCCTAACATAATAGGGAACGATCCAAGTCTCTTCTATCTGACAACACCTACGCGCGATATCCCCTCCAACATATGATTAGTGTGCAATAAACACTACTGAAAGTTCAGCACATCGCCAAGCACCGTAGAGACAGTTGCGCTTAGGCGGAGGAGTAATGATTCCGATCCATTCTAGATCACGCTCAAATCACCTCTGCCACAGACACGATCTGAAGGTATGCGTCGGCATAGAGCCGGTTCTGCAGGACGGCAGACATGCCCGGGCGGATCTTGACATTGCCGCCGAACCCGACGCCGAAGCTCGCGTCCCCGATCTGGACCCTTACTTTGCCGGCCATGATGGTGACCAGGCGCGTGCTGCGGGCGTCTAGGCTGAGCGAGAGGCTGCAACCGGGCTTCAGGAACTCGACCCTGCAGGACACCCCGTCCGCGACTGGCACCAGCTTCTGGCCCGTCAGATAGGCGCTCGAGAAGGCAACATCTGTGCGAGGCGCCGCTGGCTGTTAGCACATACGTCTAGAAACCGGATTCCACGAGTTGAAAAAAAAAAAAAAAAAAGGATGACTGGGAAGCACGTACTATCTTGCCCGTCCTCGCCGCACGAGAAAACGCCAGGACCAAACTCCCAGTCTTCCATCTCAAGGGAACCGCCTGCCCCGGAACCCAAAGGCGCCGCGGCCCTGGCGACATCCGGGCGCCCTGTCGTATGACCTTGGCGGCTGGCATTCTTGTCTGGCGTGGAGACCCGGTCGGAAGGCTGTTCCGGATGGCCCCGCGCTTGCAGAGCCACAGCCTGGGCTTTAACATCACCTACAGGCATGCCGGCATCTCCCTTTTCAGGAACCTCTGCCGCCCCCGCAACCGCTTCGGCGAGTAGAGCTCCGCGAGACGGCGCGGCGCTGCCAGCCGACGGCCGGGGGGTACGGTGCCATGAGGACCGCGACAATTCCTTGATGTTGTAGCTGGGCGGTTTCGTACCGCGGCTACGCGTGGAAAATTCTGCTCCTGGTGACATTCTCGCTGCTACCAGAACGAGAGTTTCATCCGTCTCGGGCACCGTCTCAGGCGCCGCCTTGGGCTTTTCTTGTTTGGGGCTCTCCTTCTGGGCCTCACGGACGGCTTTCATCTTCTGCTTGACTTGCGCCGAGAGTCGGCCGGCCGCGGCATTTGCCATGGCGTAAACCTCAGCCCTCACCTTGGCAGGGTCTAGGTGAGGAAAGCGCTCGGCGGTTTCTTTTTTCGACTGCGACTGCAGGGAGCAATGTGTTTGTCCCCCGTGATAAACGCAGTTGGCACAGCCATAGAGCATGACTTGGGGGTGGACGGGAGCTTCGGGTGGCATCCTGACACAGCCCTTGTATGGGCCAGAATCCTTCTTGCACCGCGTACACGGCTCCGCGGCGTAGGGCCCTGTAACCTGCATAAGCATGGAAGAGACATCCCGCGCCACAGAGTCCTTGAACGATACTTGCCGGGCGTCGTTCCACTCCAAATCGCGGAGCCGAGGCAAAGCCAAGAAATCACGAACATACATCTTCTCCGGGATTTCTTCGCGATGCACCTTGGTGAACTGTGTGATGTACTTCCACATGGTTTCGACATTGGGGGGTATAGGAGCAGAGAAGTCTCGGTTCTTGGGCTGGACGACAACCTCTGTCCCCGTGGCCTTGGGCGGCATGGCGGGACCGGCGTCCACAACAGCAGGCGCTTCCGTTGCAACAGATGGTCGAGCAGAGGGCAGGGCGCGGAGATCAGGAAACCCCCCTGTGCTACACTCCTGAGAGACCAAATCGCCGTTGGGGCTCCCGCTCGAGTTATCCCGTGATTCCGATACATGCGACTTCACCCCAACTGATCGAGGGCTGTCGTCGTCAGAGATAATGTCGAAGCCATCATCCCCGGAGTCGTCAGAGGAATCGTCGTCGACGCCACCAGCTGACGGTACATCCGGCCGGGATTCGGAGAGCGCAGTTTTGATGGCGTTAGCGACACCCGCCATGTATTGGTTCGGCTTCTCTCGCGTAACGACTATGGGACACGAAGCCGCGGACTTGCTCCCGTATGTTCCCTTCTTGGTCAAAGTTCCATCGTTGTTGTCGTGGAAGGTGTTTGCCCGGTGCTCCTGCTACAACGCGATATTTAGTAGGGCACCTAAAAATGGGATAAAGAACGGCGCAAAAGGTAGCGGTGCCGGTTTCATCAACATAATACCTTGAAATGACAGCCTAGGCGAAAAAGACTTGGGAATAAGGTCCTGCAACCGAGGACGGGGCATGGCCAGGGCTTATCCACGTGCGCAATGGTGGTGTAACCACCTGGAATGATAGCGCCATGCGCATCATCCAACCGACCGTTGCTCGCTGTGAGGAATGGCGTTAGTATTTCTGTAAAAATGTGCAAAAGTCTCCGTGATGATACGGACCCTTGAATTGAGAGTACTTTCTCCCATCCGCCGCAGTTGTAATATGCGGTGGGATGTAGCTAATTGTGCTGCTTTCGCTTACAACAATTGTGCTGTTGGTATCTGTTGATTTTTAATTAGCAAACGTTACTTAGCACTGTAAGTAAATTTTACGAGAGATAAATGCTAAAAAAAATAACTCGTATATCCACTTTCAAATGCTTAAAATCAATTTGGAAGCCATAAAACATGATATGCTTACCTTTGGCGCGTTTTGCATTAGGATAACCTTCGGTTTCTGTGCTTTTCCGACGCTTTTCACCGTGACTGTAGCTTGTAGAAGAGAAGCCCCATCTCGGCGCCCGATCGCTTTGGTCGATGTCACTCTCGATTTCGGTGATATCGAAGCTGCTGTTAGGGTGATTACCGCCGTTTGTTGAGTGCCGCCTATCCTCATACTTGATTGAGGAACTGCCATTCGCTAACGGCGGTTTATTGATTGGCGTCATCTTGCCGCCGCCGCTGCGTCGCATCATAAAACGGCCTGACGCGGGTGTGCTGCCAGAAGCATCAGCCGGCGCTGCCACTTCGGGCGGCGGCACCGAAATCTGGAGTAACGCTTTCGCCCTGGCCTGGTTCGTGGGTAAATCGGTGTCCAATAACGGTTGGGCGGTTGGGGAATTCCGTTGCGCGCCTGGCCGGGCGACAGGCTTGTTGTTGGTTGTGGCCATTACCGCGATTCAACACCCCTCCGCACCTGCACCTGCAGCGGGCAGCCGAAGGGAATTCCAGAGCGCGTGCCGCAGCAAGCCACACACGGTACCTCTCTGTCTTAGCCAATTGACATGACGCCGGTGTGACACCTCGCAGCGCGTTCGCTTTGACTGGTGGTTGGGTCCTGGGAAGATTGAAAAGGCACAGCTGGGGGGAAAGTACAGGCTGCTACAGTTGGCGGATTGCCCGAACGGTGTTTAGAGAAAGCAGGTCAAACGCGTACGCCCCCAGCGATTTCTGACCTGTCCTTTGATGCCCGCCCAGGTAGGCAAATTAGATTTCCTAGGGTGACTACGGCAGAATTACACCGCCCGCGAGGACCGTCCGTTTGGAACGCCATCCTGGGGAAAAAGGAGCGACTCACGCTAGCAGAGGGGCTCCTGCTCTCAAAATCAAATTTAGGCTTAAGGCAGGGGCAAGGAGCTAAAGCGCAGCTCCACGACCCAGGGACGGGAAGGGATATGGGCGGAACCTCGATGCCAAGATGCCCGCTTTAAAAAGGAAGAAGCTCACGGCAGCTGCTTCCACGCCTCATACCTTCCCATGAGGCCTGGCTGAAATCCGAAACCAGGAGAAGCGCGACATTCGTCCCGACAGACAGCAAGCCTCCCTCTCCCTGCGCAAGCCCGGCTCTTGTGTCGATCGGCGAACGGCTCGATTCGACCAAGTGAACGCCTGTTGCTGGTGCGCGCTTTTGCGAGACAAGAAGCAAAAACCCGCGTCGTCTTTCCGCGCGGCTCGCCCGACACTTCAGGTTGTCTTGTCACACTATAGCGGCACTTGGCGCCAGCAAGTCCTAGCGTGTGCTGTGGCTTTTTCGTCGGCGGTGACGGTGCGATGTCTTTTTTTTTTCAAGCAGTCTCAGCCCCTATCACACCCTGTCTCATGGTAGAACAGCCCGTTGACCAATCCGTTCCTGCCAAGGAACGGTTCGAGAAAAGGCAGCCCAGTATCGGGCTAATCCGTCTCTCGGTCGACGGGTGACACGTTGCATATGCGACTGCTGTATTTCCATGCAATAATCCATTTCCAAGCAGCCATGAATTGCATTTTCTCAAGATCCGTCTGGGGAAGCGCTGTGGCTTTTCTTTATGGATATCATTCCGCCTGTCGGAAGCGACGGTGGGTCCATGCCTAGCGGCTCTTGGCCCGTCACGAACCAAGCCCGCTCAGATCTTCGGGTCCACCGTGCCCACCTTCCCGTGCCCCGGCATTTGCCCATGGCTCGTCTGAATAGGTCTGGACAAGCAAAGACATCTTACCCGCCAATCTCGATAGCCTCATGCCCTCCTGGGACCTTGCTGGGCAGATGAAAGTAGACCGTTGAGATCAAGCGCCCCGCTCCTTTACGCGCCTCGCCCGAACCATAGGATTAGAGACATCCTGGCTAGCTCCTATAGCACCACTTCCGATTACTGTCTTTCGAATGTATCATGTTGTTCACACAAGACTATCCGTGACACACACCGGGCCAGCCAGCCAGCAGGAGCAGTTGACGCCGGCCGACTTCCTCGCCCAAGCCTCGCTGCCCTGGACGGCAAGTCCCCCGGTTTCTCCCCCGCAGATCATTACATACAGGGAATTCGGCCTCCATGCGCAACGCACAGGCAGAGCCCCTTGCAGCGAGGGCTGAACTCGGACCGCAGGGCACGACAGCCGGCATGTTCTCGAATTGCTTGTTGTTTCATGGTCCCGCTGAGGCTCTGGGCGGAAGCAATGGCCATTTTGTTGTGGCGGACTCGGCGATGCCCACGCATCCCATTAATGTCATCTTGTTCCTCCTTCCCGTGGCCAGCCGAGCTCTCTTCTGCTCCTTCTAGCATGAAGAGATCAAGAACTCTTTCTCAGCCATCGTTACCCAAAGGGCGAGCCCACGAGACCCTGGACGGTCGTTCCCCACATTCCCTTCTCTGTACCCATTCGTTTCTCTAATACCTGGTGGCTTTGTTCACTCCTTTTCTCAAAAAACTAGATACTTTACTTAATCATGTCGGAAAGATCATGCCCGGTCTCTGGTTCCAAGGGCGGCAAATGCCCTGGGGTCAGGATGGGCCAGAGCGGCAGTCAGTCCCTTCGCGGGCCACGTGGATGCTCTTTTTCTGGGTATTGCCAGCCAGGGGATATCCACGCCGCCTTTGATGTGAGTATCCACTACCCGTCGTGCCAAATCTAAAGATCTCCCTCTGACTCCAATCTATTTACAGATCCCGAGGGGCGTTGATGTCGAGGAGTGGCTCCGGCTACGGTATGCCTTGCAGATCCTATCATTAGCCTTCGCTTCCGAGTATAACCAGCCTCGGTAAAAACTAACCCAGTCCTACAGTGAGCGCAAAACGATCAATGAGGTCCTATACTCCAACATCCCAGCGCCCGAGGTCCTCAACAAGACCAAGAACATCGACACGCTCACCGTTAGCGACCACAACCTGCTCGCCGTCGCGCTCGGCGCTCCCGCCCGGCAGGTCATCATCAGGGCCGAGGAGGTCGGCCCCAGGAGCGGCTGGCGGGATGGGTACCTGACGGCCGAGTACGGCTTTGTCCCCGCCGACGCCGACGAGTCCCCCGCCGCCCTGGCGGCATCGCCCGGCCGCATCTGGTCGGATCTCTGCGAGCGCATGCCGGGCTGCGTGGCCCGGGGCCGCGTCAGGGACTCGGTGGCCGCCCTCCCCGTCGTCGAGGGCACCGAGGAGTTCATCCCGGACGCCGCCCTGTGGGCCGCGTGCGTCGCCCTGGGCATGCTCTGCTCCATCTACCGGTACGAGGATAACAATGATGGGAGCGAGGGCGTCAGCGTCGTCTCCCCTTCGGCCAAACGCACGGTTGAGATGAGCGACGACGTCGTGGAGGAGCTCAAGGGGATCCCGAGAAGCATTGGCCTCCCCTACTTTCAGGTCTCCAAGCGCCTTGGGAGGGCGATCCCACATCTCAGCTTTGTTGACCAGTCATCCTACAACACCAAAGTCAGAAACCCAAAGTCGACATATCCCTATGTTGCTCGCTTCGACAACATTGATCTGAGGTGGCCAATGTTTGGTGAGAGGACAGAGATTGCCTTTCTCAAGGGCTGTGCAGACACATCTGGTAGGTTATGAATGCTTTGCCGTTCTTTGCTCTTTCCCTATCACGCCCATTTTCCGCTCCATGTGACTTTCTAACAGGACAAAATCGCAGCCTCCTTCCAGCACGGCCCGGACGCCATCGCTAGCTGTCAAGAGCATGTGATGAACAGGAATGTGGAAGGCCTCCTGCGCGAGCTGATCCGACTGAAGGAGATTCTGGAAAGGATGCCGAATGCCTTTCACTCCATATCGCCAAACCCGAGCTCTGGTGACAATTTCGTCTCAGCCGAAGAATGGGTGAGATGGGGACAGTTTTCCAAGCCCCTGTCCAAGCGCTGCGCAGCGGCTTCTGGCCTGCAGTTCCCGCCCTACCTCCTCATGGATGCGTTCCTTGGGAGGAAAAAGTACGACTCGTTCCTGGGGGCCGAAGGCGTCCACCTCAGGGCCTGGCAGCCGGCGAACCTGCGCGCCTTCATCGCCGCTGTCGAGTACCACTACAGCATTCCAGAGTTTGTCGAGCGGTCGGGTGACGCCCGGCTCATGGGAGTTCTAGACGGCATCGTGGAGGCCTACTCCGGAGAACGTGGGTTCATGGGAGTCCATCGCTACAAGGTGTTTGGTATCCTTGAAGTCGCCGCGAAGACAGGACGTACCGAGACAAACGGCGCCTCCGGTGCGGCCGACGACACCAAGCCATGGGAAGAGACGCACAAGCAGTTCTCCGAGGCGATGCGCGAGCGACTGGAGCCCTACAGGGGGGACATCCCGGAGCCTCACCTGATGCGTGGCACCTTTGAGGAGTGCAGGTACCGCGCAAAGATACTCAGCCGCGACTTTATCGACAACGACCCTGCCCGGACCATCGCCGGCGTGACGCTCGACATCCAGAACACGGGTATCACCTTCCAACCCGGAGATCGCCTGGCCGTCATGCCGCTCAACAGCTGGGAGGAGTGCGCTCGGGTGGCCGCGGCGCTCGGCCTTGACGCCCTACTAGACGCGCCCGTGAAGCTGGACTCTAAATGGACGCGGTTCTCAAAGCACATCGAGTCCGTTTCACGATCCGGCCCGGCGCCGGACCTGACTGTTAAGGACATTCTCCGCCGCGGCCACTTGGCACCGCTGACGCAAGAGCTCGTGCTCAAGATTCACTCCATGCTGCGCGCCTCGTCCAGCACCATCCTGCAGGTCCTTGCGACGGACGAGTGGCCGGTCAGGGGCTCCCTGGGCGACCTTCTGCAGTCGGCCGTGCTCGACACCCCTTCGAGCGTCTGGGACCAGGCCTTCGACCTGCAAGGGGACCTGGCCTGGCTTGGCGAGCTCGTTCCCGTGGACGTGCCTAGGACCTACTCCATCTCCAGCTTCCCCGACGAGCTCCTCCCCAGCACCGTCGACCTGACGGTGTCGCGCTCCGAGTACCAGCTCTGCTCGACGTTTGCCGGCAAGGACCGCGTCGCCAGGTCCGGCGTCAGCAGCGGCTTCCTCAACCCGGCCGTGTCGTCGCACGACGAGATGATGCCGATAGACGAGGACGTCATGATCGGCGTCTCGCGGCCCGTGGCCTTCCAGCTGCCGCTCAACGGCGCGGCCCCCTGCGCCTTCTTCGCGGGCGGCAGCGGCATCGCGCCCTTCCGCAGCTTCTGGCAGGCCCGCGTCGGGACCGGGACCGTGGGGCGCAACATCCTGTACCTGGGCGTGCAGTCGCGCGACAAGTTCTGCTACGAGAACGAGCTGCGCCAGCACGTCGGCGCCGGCCACATGGAGGTGCACCTCGCCTTCTCGCGCGACTCCCGCGGGCTGGTGTTTGACCCCTCCAGCCGGGACCTGATCGAGCGCAAGGTCACGCCGCGCTACATCGACGCCTTGATCGTCGAGCAGGGCGCCACTGTTTGCGACATGGTCATGAGCAAGAAGCAAGGTGGGCTCGGCGGCTATCTCTACGTCTGCGGCTCTGTTTCTGTGTTTGAGTCTGTCATGAGCGGCATCAAGAAGGCCATCTACAATGGTCGGACAGCCACCATGGAGTCGGCCGACGTCATCGTCAACACGGCCTTTGCCGAGCGCCGCTTCATGCTCGACGTCTTCATGACACCCAAGCCGCTGCCCTGCAACCTCCCAACCATCCCCATGTCTCAGCTGGCCCTCAACACCGGCCACAGGCCTGGAGGGCGCATGTGGATCGGGGTGCACGGCAAAGCGTACGACGTAACCGACTTCTGTCCCATGCACCCGGGCGGCACGCTCATCATCAAATCAAACGCCGGCGTCGACTGCTCCAAGTCGTTCGACAACCTTGCGCACACCAACAACCCCGAGGTCAGCAGTTTGTTGACCAAATATTTTGTCGGCCACCTGACGCCCAAGCCAGCCTTCCACGGCAACGACGAGCTGGGCGGGCTCTACGACCTCTGGGCCGACTATCTGCGCACGAGCGTCGAGACCTTGGTGGCCCAAAACTTCGAGATAAACCTGATTGTGGGCGAGAAGATGGACTCGCCCATCGACCCCAGCATGGTCTGGTTCCAGGGTAACATGTTCTCCATGAAGGGGGTGCGGATGTTTTACAAGCATCAATCTAGGCTGCTGCAGAGCGGCTTCTCGGCCCTGTTCGGTCCCAAATTTCAAGAGCTGGTGCTGAAGCTGTCCTTCAGCCTCGCCAATGCCGCCTCTGCCGGCGCCTCGCCACGGCTCCCAGACGTCCTCGGCGTCATCGCGCGCGCAAAGACATCCACGGAGGCCGTGACGACGTCCAAGGAGATCTCAGCCATCGGGCGCTTCATCAGCCACAGCGAGGACGCGCGCTTCCACGAGCAGGGCATCATACACTACGCCACCCAGGCCATCGAGCTGGACATGGGCCTGCTCGAGGACATCCGCATGGAGGCCTGCCACGGCATGGATGCCTTCGACGCCCTGTCCGCGCTCAATGGTGACGAACTGGAGCCGGTCGCGGCGCTGGCAACGTTCCTGATGCAGGTGCTGGAGCGCATGGCGAAGCGTCTCGAGATCTTCTATGACAAGCTCGCGCAGCTCTCGGTGTACCGGCCCGAGATCGAGCGGAACCCGGCCCGGACGCGCTGGCACCTCGTGCGGCAGCGCGTGCGCGACGGGTCCTTCTTCATGCTCACACAGAGCATGTCGGTGGCCGCGCCGCCGTCCTTCCAGCCGCGGAAGCAGCCGACGGTCGACTTTGACCACATCGTCAGCCAGGTCCGGCACACTCTGGCCGTGAACCCGGCGCCCATGAATGTAAAAAACAGCCAGAATATGCACCGCCAACCGCAACCGCAACCACACCACCGCTTCGCAGCAGCACCCGCGCCCGCCCAGCCGGCAACGACGCCGACCCTCAACTCGATGCACCACTCGCGGACGCAAGCACCGCCCAACGGCGCCTCTGCCTTCGAGAGCTACGAGAACGGCAGCGCGCTCAACCGCATGAGCACCTTTATGGACCGCAACGTGCGCGCCATCCGCCGCCTGTCGCGCGCCCCCGCGGCGGTTCCCGCCTTTGCGGCCCCGCCTCCCATCCCCGGCATGATCGCGTACGGCGGCGAGGACGACGGCAGCCACGTGCAGCAGATGCTGCACCAGAACCTGCCGTACCAGACCCAGATCCCGACGCCGCCGTCAAGCCGCAGCTCCAGCTCGGCGGCGCTGGACCGCGCGTGCATGGCGTCGCCCGAGCTGCAGCTGCAACACCTAATGTACGGCGCGGGGCCGTCGGCCGGCAGCCCGCTGGCGGAGAGGCGGGCGTCGCCGCCCATGAGCGGCGCGAGCGCCATGGCGGCCATGATGGGCAAGATGAACGTGCGTGGGCGCGTCGGCGGGGGCGGAGGCGGTGGCAGCCCCAACGGCAGCAGCAGTCGGAATAACAGCCCTGCTAGTGCTGGCGGTGGTCCTTTCGGCCGTGCAAACTCGTATGCAGGGCTACCGGCGGGGCAGCACTTCCGCAATCCTTCCATGAGTGCGGTCCCGGTTGGCGGCGGCGATGCCGGCACGAGAGTGGGCAGGCCGCGGACGGCGACGAGTACGAGTAGCGGCGGCTCGCTGAGGGCCTTCAAGCTGGCCGGCGTGGTGGCTGGACAGAATCAGGCGAGGACGCAGACGGTGCCGCCGACGTTTTAGGAGACTAGGTGACGCAGGCGGGAGGTTAGTGATGTAAGATGGAAGGGATAGGCATATATGTAGCGAGGACTTTGCTTTGGTTAGAATGTCCGATTAGGTATCTAGAGAGGGGATCAATCTCCTGTTTGGTCATTTCCGGTGTGCCTTTTTCTTGGGGCTGCTCTCAATAGTATTCCTCTAGGTCAACAGCACAAGGGTTCACACCTCCTATGCACCACAATAATACGAGAATAGTGGTGAAGCAATCATACAAGGATTAGTGAAGGAAAATACCGGAATGGGCAGGTGTCAGGTGTGCACAGGTACCTATATAACAGAAAAGAATACAATGGAAGGGAAGACCACAGGAGGGAGCACAGCAAATAATTATTGCCGGAATTGGGGTGTGGACTGGGTGCCTCGCTCCTGCCGCCGGAATCGTTTCGTCCTTCCGGGGCTAACTGGCCAATATCAAAGATAGGCCTCGACGTCATAGCACAGGCCAATAGGTACCTACCTACCTTACCTACGACAATTTATTCGCTTGAAAGTTTGCAATCCCAGAACTTCATGCCCGAGCACACATTATATCAAAACAGTGGTAACGTCGGGGAGCTTGACCCCGTCCATCACTAGTCAATACAGTTTATCCAGCCAGACCCCCCAAGGTACCCACCTTCAAGCAAACAAGGAATTCCTTGTCTAAACACCTAACGTACCTACGGTAGGTACTTATCTACCCGGTTCGGGTAGCACTGGTCTGGCATTCACGACCACCTTCCAGCCCAGTCACCCGCAGCCAAACGTCCACTCGTCAATATCGATCGACCAGCGCTACCGCACCGTCAGACTCAAGGCGCACACTAAAAGACGCAGTATGTCTGGCCGCAACAATAAGAAGAAGGGTCACCGCCTCTTCAAGCAGCGAAAGCCCTCCGCGGCGGCCGAGGGCCCGGAGTCGCAGCCCCAGGCGGCATATGCCAAGGCCAGCGATGTGGCGGTTGGAAGTTTCCGCGCGAGCCTTGCTGATCATCTTCACCCGCCAGACGCACAGAATTCCGAGGCTGGTCCTGCCGGTAGCCCTGCAGCCGGTGTCGCGGATTCGGCCGAGCTTCAGCAAGCCGCCATGACCATAGTCGAGCTGGCGACGTCGGCCCAGGAAGCCAAGACCGTCGCTGGTGGCAACGATCGGGAGGACGTCACGGGCCTCAAGACACCCGGCGAGTTCGAGGCCGTCTTCAATAAGCTTGTATGCTCTATAACGGTCCTCGCACGCACATGTCACCAGCCCAGATACTAACACGACAGCAACAAGAAGTACGTGTCGGCGCCTAGCGACGACGGTGCTGCGGCACCCGCCACCGATTCCAACGAGGGCAAAGCGGCGGCCCGCAAGAAAGCCAACGGTTTCAAGAAAGCCAAAGTCTCCAAGCCCCCGCGCCCAGCGAGGATGGAACCTGCCTCCGGCCAAGCCGCCATCAAAGAGGAAGCAATTACCATCCAGACCTCTCACCCCGCGACAATGGACTTCGCCTTCGTCCAGGCAGCAGCCGATGAGGAACCTAACGCCGTCCAGACCTCGCACCCAGCGATGGCCGACCCCGCCTTTGGTCAAGCTGCCCGCGACGAGCAGCACCACCATGACGAGCAGCAATACCGCGACTACGCCCCGATGAATGCCGGCTTCGGCATGAACATGGACATGCGCGTCGCCAAGCCCGTGGCCGTGAGGCTCCCCCCGCCCCGATCCGCGGCGGCGAGGCGGCGCACGCCCGAAGAGTTCCGCCAGGCGCTCATGGACCAGGTTCAGCGCATCAAGGCGACGGAGAACCAGCCCGAGAAGCTGCACCAGGTCCTGGTGGAGTTTCGCGCGTCCATCGACGAGAGGATGACCGAGTTCGTCGACATTAGAGGCGTCGTCTTCGACCTGGGATGCGGCGGACCGTATCGTTGAGTTTTCGGGCCCGCAGCCCCAGGTCAGTGAGGACTGTGATTCCTTGTCTTCCCCCGAGGGATAACTATGATTACGAGACTACGGCAAACCGGCTCTCATTCTATCCGCTGCTTTCTGTCACCTGCAACAAAAGAATGACTGGTTGAGACTCCGGTGAGTTGAATTCCTCCCGACGTTTGGTGCCCAAAGGCTACAGCAAGCTAACGACGCCTCCATGTGACAAAGTAACAGTGCGACCGATATAACAAGTCAATATGAGAAGACTAAAAGGAATTGTATGACCCATAGACTTGGGTACTACCTTCACGAGACGTTTTTTGTTGCGGTATGCTAGTAGAGACAGCCAAAAAGTGGCCTTCATGGAACCATTGGGGAGAGATGCGCGATATCCTTCTTGCACTTGGTATTGAGGACACGGAAAGGAAAGTATCAAGCTTGGCAAACCTGCTTGGCTTGACTGGTTTGTTCGGAGAATGAGATGGGTGAGTGGAGTTCAGGATGACAATGTCGCCAGTGGCCGCTGGATAAATGAAGGAAATGTGACAGGCAGGTGGTACTTGGGGTTGTACTTTGTGGATCTTCCGAGAAGGACAATGGCATGTCGTCAGCCGCGCAACACGTGACTCATCCGTCCCTTGCCCCTTGAAGGCGTCAATCAAAAGGGGCTGGACCTGCAGGGTTTTGCGCAGCTCGCAAACCCAACGTGGTTCCGGCTCCACCTGCGCATCAATTTCTTGCGACAGACAAAGAAAAGCAAGCTTGCACAATTCTGATCCCGCCAAACATCCCGCACTGGAAAACATCTCCCAGTCGCGGCCACCTGCTTTGTCCCCGCGCCAACCTGCTTTCGCTCGAGGCTCCTCGTCTCGCCATCTTTCCTCATCAACTTTGCTGCCACTCTTGCAGTTCGCAGTCGCGCAATCCAGTCTTCTACTTTGGGCGACCGAATCGCTCCATCCCAGAAGCGTTGGAGCCGTGCAGTGTTTCGCACGAGACGCGCGCGCATCGATTGCCACCCACGATTGAAACTGGCCTGTCGACTTTCCGTGCCGTTGAAGACCTTGACCGCCTGTCTTGCATCTCGTCAATCGTGATTCCACGCGCTCTGCAATAACCATGGCCGAACAAGCCACCAGTCTCCAGGAGATCCTGGCGCGCCTCGGTATGCTGACGCCCTAGATGCTGCTCAAGTGAAAACTCGAAAGCGATGCTGACTTATGCTTGCGTGATGACAAAGGCGCCGCGCAATCGGGCCAGCCGCCTCCCCCAGGCAGCGCTATGCCTGCGTATCCTCCGTCGCAGCAGTCGTACCCGCCGCCCGCCGGCGCACCATACGGCGCGCCTCCCGGCGCCTACCCCTACCCTCAGCCCTCTGCTAGCGGCAGTGTTGATCTGTCAAAGGTAGCGCCCTACCAGTCGGGAACCGCGCCGGGCGCCAGCAGCATCCAGGACGCCATCGCCAGGGCGAGGAGTTTCGCGGCCGACCACGGCGCGACGCCATACGAGCGCCCGCCCGGCTACGGCGGCGACAGGCCCGCAAGCGGCGGCCCGCCTAGGTACGGCAGGTCTCGCTCCCGGTCGCCATCCCGGCGCGACGGGGACCCCCGTGGAAACTACAACCCCTACCGCGACGACAGGCGCGAGGACCGCGGGCGCGACGGCGGCTCTCGCGATCGCGACCGGTCCTTCTCGCCTCGCGGACGCCGCGCCGCCGCCGCCGCCGGCGCTGGTGGCAACATGTTCTCCCCACGTGGTGCCCACGGAGGCGCTCGCGAGCGGTCCCCACTCCGCGGCGACGACAACTCGGAGACGATGCAGATTGAGGGCAGTCTAGTTGGTCTTATCATCGGCCGGCAAGGCGAGAACCTCCGTCGCATCGAAGGCGACACCCAGTGCCGGGTGCAGTTCCTACCGGCTTCGGCATCCGATGGCGACCACCGCCTGTGCAAGATCACCGGCCCCCCACCCAGGCGTGCCGAGGCCCGCGCGGCCATCAACCGCATCATTGACGACAGCGGCATGACGCCCCTCAACAGGGGCGGTTTCGACCGCGGTGGCCGTGCCGAGCGCGGCGGTGCCGGTGCCATGGTCGAGCCTAAGGAGGGCGAGGAGTGCCTCCAGATCATGGTCCCCGATAGAACCGTGGGCCTGATCATTGGTCGCGGTGGCGAGACCATCCGTGACCTCCAGGAACGAAGTGGCTGCCACATTAACATAGTCGGAGAGTCCAAGAGCGTCAACGGGTTGCGTCCAGTCAACCTGATTGGTACCCATGAGACCTCCATGAGGGCCAAGAACCTCATCATGGAAATAGTCGAGAGCGATACGCGCAACGGCGGTCAAGCAGCTCCCGGCGGCCCGCCTCATGGAGCGCCCCGTGGCCACCGCGGGGACCAGGGCGGTATGGGTGGCGGCATGGGCGGTGGCGACAGGATCAACGACTCCATCTACGTACCGTCTGACGCCGTTGGCATGATCATCGGCAAAGGCGGCGAGACCATCAGGGAGATGCAAAGCAGCACAGGATGCAAAATCAACGTCTCGCAGTCGTCCGGTCCTAACGAGACGGAGCGCGAGATCGGCCTAGTCGGCAGCCGCGACTCCATCGAGAGGGCCAAGCGCGCCATCGAAGACAAGGTCGAGACGGTCCGACAGAAGAACAGTGGTGGTGGTGGTGGTGGTGGTGGATTCCGTGGTGGTCGTGGTGCCCACAGAGACTACGACAGCCCGAACTATGGCCAACCCTCTAACCACAGCGCAGCACAACCCCAGCAACCTCCAGCCATCCAGGCGGCGCCGGGACAGCCGGCCCCTGCCGCCGGTGGTCCTGACCCCTATGCAGCCTGTAAGCTCTACCTCGCTCGTTGTGTCTCCATGTTTTTTTTGTGCTCTCATCTGACATCCTTCAACAGACGGTGGCTACCAAGCATACGCTGCTCTTTGGTTTCAGGCAGCCATGGCGCAGCAAGCCCAGCAGTCTGGCCAGACGGCCGACGGGGACAAGAAGAACCCGCCTGGAACATCGTGATGTCTCAGTGCACGCTCACCCCCACCGACTTGACGCCTCGCAGGTGCTTCTTGATGCAGTGATGCTCGATGAAACGCTTGACATGCGACTCTCTGCCTGCCTGTCTGTCTGTCTGTCTGTCTGCCTGCCTGCCCGCTGCTGCCTGCCTACGACGTCGTCTTATAACTTGGACCGCCATGACCGTGCGTGCGCGCAACGACTATATAACCGACCTCATGAACGCTCCGCCACTTGTACCAGTACTACGCCTCACTTCCTTGTTACGAGTCTTTGGCCTCCGTTTCTTCTTCACCTTTTTCTTTGCATCTACGCTCGCATCTACGAGATACCCCTGCACGCCACACATTTCCCCCTCCCTTTTTTGCGCCATGCGTCGTGAGCGTCTCGTGCGTGACCTGGCCGTTGTCTGGCCGTTGTCTCGCTCGACGCCCCAAGTCCTGCCCGCGTCTTGGATGGAGTGTCTCTCTGCTGATTTGTCGCCTGCGCCACTGCTTCGTCCACTGGTCGTAGACCTGGCCCCAGACGCCCATGACCATGATCATGGATTATGTCGGGGGTCTTGACAACTGGTGACATCTGCTGTTGCTGTTGCGGCTGGCCAAGCCAAGCCAACCGACAAAGACAACGGCAATGGGCCGACCCATCATCTTGTCAAACGTGGGCTCCGGACATATTCTTCACTTCGCTTCTCATCACCCCGGCAACCATCTCCTGGCGTCTATATGGAACATGCATGGGAGCCAACCTCCCACCAGGTCTGCGCCCATCACGGTACCCCTGGATTGCTAATACTGCCTGGTTCCACGCCGGCAAGAGCGTCTCGTTTCTGCCCCTGGCTACCATGACGAACATGGGCAAACGCAGATGGATGACACCTTCAGCGTGCCTGATCGCATGCCGTCTCCGTTACTGGCCTGATCCCGTCACCGGTGCCCTCTATTGAGGGGAGCGCCTCTGGCCCATGCTCAAAACGCTGCTGTCACTACACATGCTATGCAAAAAGGGGGCAACTAACGTCTGTGAAGGCCTCTCTTCCTCCACCTTTATTCCATTTGCGTTAATTATAACTGCCGTGGGGATTACTTGGACGGGGATTTTTTCTTCCTTTCTTTTATTATTTTCCTTTTCTTTATTATCCCTGCTTTTACGTCGGTTCTGCGTCTTTCTGGACAACGACTAGCGTTTCGGAGGTCAGACCGCCCCTCAATCTTCTTTGCAAACCTTCTCGTTCGAACCAAGGCATTTATCCCAACTTGCTCGGAAGTGGGTACGGTTTTTTTTTTCTCTTTTTTTTCCTCACCATATTTTCCTTATCTGTGTGTTTTTCCTTTTGTCCTTATGTTTGCCGTTTAGATAAGTCCCTGATGGCTTCTGCGCGACAAAGCCTCAGGACCGAAGATGGGATTTCACCGGTGGAATGGGGTATAGGGGCCACGAAAAGTATCGTCATCTTTATGCGCAGACAACAGAGGTTTCTTTTGCTATGATAGTGTGCTGCATCCCTGACCACAAGTGAATGCTGCTCGGGGTTTTTGGATTACCAGGACCTCAAGCGCTAAGCCAATTTCCAGTTTTGTCGTGCCATCTAAATGGTAAGCTTAAAAAGGTCCATCAGCATGCTAAAAGACAGCCCACCCACAGAGTAGGTAAAGAATATTGCAGATGTAAGGATATAAAAATCGCAAAAACGGAACAAAAAGCGACACTAGGACCTCAGAAAGGACCTGGCGAGATTAGAACCGACAACGACAAGATTCGAACTTGTGCGGCCGAAGCCATATGATTTCTAGTCATACCCATTAACCACTCTGGCACGTTGCCCGTTGGAGGCAAGCTGCTCCGATGGAACTCTCAAGCGTCCACCAACCTGCAGGGCCGGGCAGGATCCATTTGTAGGAGCCAGATCGAGATCCTATCAGCCGCTCTAACCAGTAATTTAAAGCATGGTTAAAAAGAATGTGTTACAAACAAGGCAGTCCCTACTGTGTGGAGATAGCCTCAGGCACGGGATATCGTCGGCCTAAGGCACCGGAAAAGCGGTCCCTTTGCCTGGGAGCTTATAACGCTTCTAGGCACCACGAGGGAAGCTTAGTAAGCAAGGAGGACATGGGTATTACGTGTATAAAGTCCTGGACCGTATATCCTTTCCTCTTTAGAGCAATATATCCGGAATAGCCCTTACACTGTGTCCGTGCACCTTTTACCTGCAATAATAAAGTAAACAAAATTCGAATATCGGTGCCAGCGCTTCCAACGCTACGCGAATAATGACCGCCTTAAAAAACTAGATACAATAAAAACCCGTGAAAGAAGGGGAAAAAGTCATAAACGCCAAACACCCAATTCCATCATGCCAAACTCCTTGCGCATATCCGTTAATGCCCCTCGCTGCGCTTTATCGCATGTGAATCCCGATCCCCAGCAACACTACGCACGTTTACTGACCGGGCTTCTTGCCGGGGGGAACGATGTTCTCCAGGCCCTGCTTCTTCCAGTCACTGCTGGGCCCGTGGAAAGGGGCCGGCGGGGCCGGCGGGGCCGGAGGCGAGGGCGGGATGATGGGCTTGATGTCCTGCTTGTTGATGGGCTCCTTGTCCTTCTTCTTGAAAAGGTTGGTGAGCCAGTTACGCTTTTGGGGCTTCTTGCCCGGGGGAACGATGTTTTCAAGACCCTGCTTCTTCCAGTCACTGCTGGGCCCGTGGAAAGGGGCCGGCGGGGCCGGCGGGGCGGGGGGCGAGGGCGGGATGACGGGCTTGATGTCCTGCTTGTTAATGGGCTTTTTCTTGTCCTTCTTCTTGAAAAGGTTAGTGAGCCAGTTACGCCTTTCGAGGTCCGACTCGGAGAACGACGACGAGGCCTCCTCGTTAGCCGCGAGCAACTGGGCAAGGGTGTCCTGGTCGAACGTGGGGGCGGCGGGTCCGGTGGCGGCGACATCCACGTTGCGGGCAGGAGGCTCGCCCGCCGGCAAAGCTGCCGCGACGGAAAGGAGGGGGAGGAGGATGACGAGGCTCTTTAGCTGAACCATCTTGTTGATGCTGGTGGTTTTTGCGGAGGCCTTGGGTTGTTTGTTTTGTTTAGGGGTCAGCTGGATGGGTGATTGTAATGGTAATGGTTATTGTTGTGTGTTTGCGATGATGATGATGCTTCTCCAGACCTTCTTCTCAACACGCATCTCTGCCCGTCTTTATACATGGTCGACGCATCTTTCGAACCCTGAGAAAATATCATGATGCCAAAAGAAAACAGTAATCAAGCATGAGAATAAGCATCTTTTCCATTTCGTTTGTATTTTGATCGAGCCGTAGTACGCTCGCACTCGCAGGTTTCGCATTAAAGGTAGCCTAAATGCAGCCACAGCCGTCTTTAGGCTGCATCGAATCCAGACTGTCGATCGCGAATGCAAATTGATCATGTCGCGAAGGCCAATTGTCCGTCACTGCCCAGTTGATCTGCGTGGCTTCGCTTTTAGCGTGTGTGGCGCAGCGGGATCACGACAGATTCCATCTCGGATTCGCCCCTGACTAGCATATATGAAAAATGCATGCTGAGGGCGCAGTGAGCTTGGCATCAAAAAGTTGCGAGACGCGATTGCGATGCAAGTCCGATGTTCTTTTTTCCTGCTGGTCGGGTGCCGGTACGCATGGAAACCAATTCGGACTTTCGCACGCTCCGAATTGGGCATCTATTTCCAGAGCTGGAATCGGGCGTCCTGTGGTTTTTCGTCGGTAAGGTCGTACTTCGCGGTCGCTTCTGGAATTCTCGGTCGCTCGCTGGGTTTTCTCAGCTACCTCCTCACGAGCCTTCGACGATTATCGCGAGCTGGCATGCTCAAATAACCTGCTAGATCCGTGCCGTGAGCAGGTGGGCTCTAATCACTTTGGCTTCATGATGCCCCGTTCGACAACGTTTTTAGAGCCAGGCTTCGTCGCTGGAAATGATGAAGAGTTATTCTTCTTGCGCCTGCTTCTTCGGACGGCCAGCGAGTCCGAGTAGGCCCCATTCTCGGTGTGTCCCGTCGCTGCTGCCGTATGCTTTGCGGTAGATTTCCCCGAGCTCGCGAACGGCCGTGGATCGCGTCATAGCATTGGAGCTATCCAGCATAATTGTGAGTGCCACCTCTGCCCTCTGCTGACGGGCAGCTAGCGAGGGCAAACGCACGAGCGCCGCCGATACTAGGACGCATATCACCGCAACCTCCCCGGGAAGCGGTTCCCGAGTGTCAGGCGACTCCTCCGTGAACCATGTGTCCGCGAGTAGCTCCTCCGCCGTCGGGCTCCCACGTGGGTCCTTATCGGCCGGGGCTATCTCCCTCGGGCCCACCCTAGCGAACGGCTTCACTGGAGGCCCCAGGCCATTGATGTAGTCAACGACGGCCGTGATTCCCGAATCGTTGAAGTCGTGATAGGATCGCCGAAACGGACCGAAGAACTTGTGCATCCGCTTCAGGGCGGTGAATTCGTAGGTGTCGTTTTCCGGGTCAACCCCTTCGACCTTGGGGTTAAACAGGTGGTAGCCGCCGCCGAATATGAGGCTGAGCATCCGGGACGCGTTAGCGGGGGAGGGGTGTCGCGGAATGGGACCTCCTTACTGCGGTGCCGAATGACCATGTATCTGTCGCGGTGGTCCAGGACAGCTGGAACGTAGCCTCGGGGCTGCGGGTGGAGCCGGCGCCGATAACCTGCCCTTCCCTTGCGAACGAGGATTGCTGGGATGCTACGCCTCCGCAGTCGCCGAGCTGGAACTCAGAGAAGTGCCGATCGCCCCGTCCGTAGTTGACAAATATGTTGTCCAGCTTAACATTTAGGTGGTTTAGCAAATGCCGGCTGACGGGGCGAGGGGAGCCTACCTGTGTGGACCATGCCGTTTTTATGTAGCACGCGGAGGGCCTCAAGGACGCACCGGGCTACATGCTCAATTTTAGGGCGCGACAGTCTCTTTTTGTTCGACTCGGTCGGGCAATCGCTGTCCAGATATCGGGGAACGATAGAGGGAGGGTCGGCCGGCTCGTGGATCTCGTCGACCAGCGGGCGGAGGAAGGTGGTCTCGGACTGGTAGCGCTTGAGGACGTCAGCTTCGTTCCGCAGGCGCCAGCGGTCCCTGATGCTCTTGGCGATGCACCTCTCGCCGCTCCGGTTCCTGCGCCCGGGATGGTCAGCAGATGCCTCGAGCAGCGACGCGAGACGGGAAATTGCCTGGCGAGGTACACGGCCCCTTCGGCGGACAGACACGACTACGCGGCCCTGGACCTCAGCGACAGATGCACCGAGGCCTTCAACACGCAGCTTGAGCATTGCAACGCCCTGCTATATGTAAAAGTCCCTCTCATCCTCGACCAAGAAGTGCACGAAACGGTATCGACTGCCGGCTCTACGGGAGAAGATCGTGGCTACCTGCACCGCCCCCGAGGATACCAAACTCGTCGTCCAAGATTATATGTTCCACGTAAACGACGGCCCGTCCCGCTTTCACCTATTTTCGGCCGCATTATTTGAACTTCTGCTGACACCGCTCCCCCCATGGGTGGGACAAGCGACATGGTTCCTGGGCGAATTCGTTTATACCTAGGATATAGCCTGTCACAAACACAGAAATACCGGACGCTTCTGTGAAACGGTCCTTGACTTCTGGACGACAGGGGAGCCGCCAGTGGATTCTCGCGATGACTGCTATATTTGGCCCGAGGCTCTGCAGCTGGCGTCGCCGTTTGGCCAATTCCCCAAAGACAGATGCGACCTCCAACGCCGCATCTCGTCCTGTGGGCTCGCTTCCCAGTACCACCTCCCAACGCCGACCCGCTATTACCGGGCCACAACTACGGCCGCCGCCTTCCCGACCGGTTTGGAGTAGTTCGACACGCTCGACACCCCAGAACAGGACTGGAAATGGCCAAATCGCTCCTGTCTGCGTTGGGCCTTTTTGGCTGGGCCACTTCGGTCCATGCCCAACAGTTTGTTGCGAAACACGAGCTTCCCTGGGATCAGATGTACCAGCGCTCAGCTGTCCGACATCCTAGCCGCCAAGGCCGAACCATTCGAAAACCATCCTGTTGGCGGGAGTTGCCGTCCGTCCAGCCACTGCTCGGGCTAGAGACGGCCAGGACGCGGTCAGTACGTTGTGTCCCAATGGAGGGCGCGTAACACGGCCCACAAGTCGGAGCGCGGATATCACGGGGAGCACGCCGGACGCCGAAGCCGAAGGGAGCCCTGGGGCGGGCGCCGCAGACCGTCGGACCGGCGCAGCGCTGCAGGTCGGCGTGCAGCTGATCTCGGACGAGGGCGGCAGACGGGGCCGTGGAGCGCGGGATCTGCAACAGCATGTGTTTACCCAGGATGACGGAGCCCGTCACCGAATCGGCCCCGGCCCCGACGAACCCGGCGCGGTGGTCAATGGGCTTGGTGCGTAAGGGTCGCGTCGCCACCGGCTAAGCCCTTGAAGTCGCCACAGCTGCCGAGCATACCGTGTGGGATTCTGCGAAGGGGCCGGGATGCGTGTGTGGAGTGGGTGATGATTGCGTTTTCAGCAGAGGACCTGGGCAACACCATCCTTCCACACCGGATCGGGGGCGGGCCACGTTCGTGGCGGTCTGGTGGGGGTAAGGTCAACCTAAGGATTCCGTCCATTTATGATGGCCGGAACATTGGGTTACAGTAACAAGAGTGTCCTACCTTTGGGCACGAGCCTTGGCCGAAACGCCTGGTCGGAACTAATTTGGGTACATCGCCGCAAGGGACTTGACAGGCCTGTCTCGGCCCAGGAACTCGGAATGACACGTCGATATTATTGGACAATGGTACCCTGTCACAGAGAACTAGCCTGCCCATGGCGATCACTAGGATATATCGACAAGCTTGCTGATGTTGGGTTGACCACGGCAGCACAGCTCGACGAGGCACTGCGGAAATGCATAATGGCGATGTTTGAGAACACAGGCAGCCATTCCAGCCCCTTTTTCATTCATTATGTGTAGTGGCGCGAGCCAAAAAGTATAGACGCCAACCTCCCCCCCCCCCCCCCACAAACAGCCCAGACTTATACGACGAGGTGAATCTTTTTAATAATGTTGTTCCACTTGTTCAAACACCACATGGTAGAATGCAGCCTAAGGTCCGCGTTGCTAGTATAGACGTGAGTGCTATAATCCCAAACGTTATTAGTTTATTGACCCCAATTTTGCTTAACAAGAAATAAGCGCTTACTGCAAAAGCACCTTAGTGGCCTTTTTAAGCACAAGAGATGGGGCCCGTTTGAGCCTCTCTATAGTGGCATCGAACTCCGTTTGGGAGAAGAAAGGCCGGTAGAATCCCGAAACCCGGGTGTACACCCCCACCTCGATCACCCGGCCGGCCAGGGTGATAGTCTTCAAAATGTCGTAGGAGCGTTTGAATGGTGCCATGGCGGCGGCGGGCAGCGGGCGGCAGGGGGGACGGCAGCAGCGGCAGCAGGGGCGGCAGGGGCCGGCGGCGGGCGAGTGTGTGGGCGGGCGGCGGGCGGCAAACAGCGATTGTGAGTAGAGGCGCTGGTGTGGGCATTGGCAGCGCGAAGATGTGGTTGTTTTGTTTTGTTTACACTTCTCCTTAGAATACCAGTCATTATCTCCTGGCGAAACGCCATTACCTCCTTCCTTACAAAAATGGTGTGGTGATGGTATCAACTGGGAGGCGCGGCGGACGTATGTGATATCGGCCAGGGCAGGCACCTCCTCCCCTACATCATCCGGCTCATCCCTTCATTCGGCCGTGGAAAGAGCGCACGCATCACGGGCAGAAGCGGTATGAGCAGCAGCTTTTCCCCGACACTAAAACCGTCCTTCCTTGAACTGAAGTAGTAGGCACGCGTACTACCTTCCCGCGAGATAAACGTGATGATGGCATGCATGGATCCAGGGAAGGGAATTAATCCACTTCAGACCAATACCTGCCTGTAACTGCTCCTCACCCCACCTGACCTTAGAAATGCCAGGACTTGATCGATTGTCGGCCTGGCCGCTGGGTCCATCTTTAGCATCCAAGAAATCCGTGCGTGTACCTCTGGACCGAGCCCCTGGCCCCAGGACTGGAAACTCAGGTCGGGTCTCGACTTCAGCACCAGCTGGGAATGATACGACAGAATATTCGCTTTCCGGCAATATTCTTCGCCCCTGATCACCTTAAACAGCCCCTCGGTGGCCGGACCAAAAAAGGCGAAGTGCCGGGCCATGAGCTCTTCCACGTGGCATAGCGTCACCCCGCCCCCTTTCGCCGCCAGCCCCTCGGCGTAACGGAGCATGCTACCGGCGCCGAGGGTGTAGAGCATTACGAGACCGAATGAGTAGATGTCAGATGCCATTGACATGCCCCTTCCGGAGTAGACTTCAGGGCTTCGCCACTCGCGCGACCCTGTATCGTCGCACCGCATACCGTCCGTTTCCAGCGTCATGGCGCTCATGGCGCTGCTGAGGCCGCCCACGGCTACGTTGGTGACCGTCTTGTCGCCGTGCCCGTTGCAGGTCCAGTCGACGAGGACGTTGTTGGGGCTGATGTCTTTCGAGGGGAAAGTAGGGTCACGGGTTAGCTTCAGTCTTCTTTTCCCCCTATTATTTTTTACTGCGAGTGGCCATACCGAGGTGTGCCCAGTTCTTCTTGTGCACCTCCTGGATCGCCTCGGCGACGGTCGTCATGATCTTGACTCGCTCGAATATGGGGAGTTCGGGATCCTCCGCGATCAAGTCGAAGAGAGTGGTCTTGAAGAAGGGGTAGACCAGGACTTGCTCATCTAGGTCGCGGTCTACGTGCAGCCGGAGCCGGCGGGAGCCTGCAAATTCGGCTGCAAAATCTCGGCACTTGTCGTAAATGTAAGATAACGGGCACTTGAGCACAAAGCTCTGGCCCCCAGACCTGGAGTTGTACAAGGTTAGTCAACGAGCGTTTGCTGGACATCGCCCTGCCGCCAGGGGCGGGGTGGTCCAAGGGTTTTGGGGGCAGAGCACTCACTCGGCCTTGACGACGCTGCACGGCCGATAGGGCGACGGAAAAGGGTCATAGCAAATGAAATGGCGGCTAGAAGCCAATGAACGCCGCGTCCTTCGGGCGAGAGCGAGTAGAGCTAATGAATGCCGCTTCTTTCGGGCGAGAGCGACTAGAGCCAATGAACGCCGCTCCCGGTTGAAAGCGAGTCGCTCGCTCGCCGGCATTACGGATTTGTCTTGGTAGCGCTGAAGCACGTCTCCCTTGACATATACGCGACCGGACGCGCCCAACATGGTCGGTTGCATCATATTCGAGGGGGCCGGGGGAGGACAGCAGTAGCTGGCAAAGCGTCGGAACAGCATCGCGGATCTGTTGGCTACCTCGAAAGCGTAGGCAAGAAACAGAGATCGGCGAATGTGGCAAACCACCACGTCTTGTGTGGCGATGTAGAAATTTCCACGGGATGTTGAGGGGTGAAGGGATGCCGGTATGCTTGCGGCTAGAGGGGAGTTGGAGTTCCATTTATATGCAGGGCCAGGAGAAAGGTAGGGCATCCCGGGAAACTCCTTTTAAAATACACTCTAAGCCTCTGCTACGTGCCACGGAACCTTCGGGTCGGGAGACCAAGGTTCGATTCATGGAAAGTATGTTGGTGACGGCCGCAGTGTTGTGCTTCGGGACTTGGGGACTTCTAAACGGCTTGAACTATGCTGCGGAATCGCAAAGTATTTTTTTTTTTCTTTTTTTCTTCTTTTCCTTTTCTTTTTTTCCCTTTTTTTCCCCCCTTTTTGGTTTTTCTTTTTTTCCCCTTTTTTGTTTCTTTCTTTTTTTTTCCCGTCTATACTTTTTGGCTCGCGCCACTACACATAATGAAAAAGGGGCTGGAATGGCTGCCTGTGTTCTCAAACATCGCCATTATGCATTTCCCTTTTTTTTTCTGGCAAACCGTCGAATCCGTAAGTAACACCAGCCACGGTGGGTCTTAAACGGATGGCCAGAGCCGTGGGCTCAGGAGACATTGTCAGGTTGTCTCAAGTCGAAAACTACCCGGCTTTTCTCTTGGCCATGAACTGTGCGCCAAATTACAAAGTAAGGAAATGCGAGAGAAATAGCTCGTGTGGCCGGCTCCAGCCTTCTCTGGGTGGTGAGCTTGTCGTGTGTTTTGTTAATAGTTCCTTTATTTTTGCTCAATATTGGATATGAACACCCAGAAGCGTGGGCGGAGAGGGCCCGCGAGACAGGAGGAAAAAGATATATTATGCCAGGCGCGGTTCCCCGATCCAGAAACACCGCAGAAGTGGAGGACGAAAAGATAGAAACCAAAAAAAAAAGAGGTAGAGAAAAGAAATCACAATGACCCCGCTGGTACCCAATAACCCTAATCTATAACATCAAGAAGCCTTTGGCTTGCCCTGTGGGCCGTCGGCCTTGCCGTTGCCGCGCAGCAGCCGCTCGAGGCGGGCGCACCGGGGCTTGGGGTGGGCCTTTGCGCGCTCGAGCATGTCCTGGTCGACAGAGAACCAGCCCTGGGCGGCCTCGTGCAGTTGCTGCTGCTGAAGCGACTCGCGCTCGCAGTCGCGCTTGAGCTGGTTGACAAACGTCACGTAGGCCTGCGCGTGCAGCTGCGACACTTTGTGCTTGTTCTGCCGGATCTTGGCCCAGTCCTCCTGGCGCACGAAGAAGTTGAGCCCGCTGTCGTGCACCTGCCTGTGCGTGTGCTGCCCCGAGGCCATGTCGAAAACGACGTCGGGCACCGCGGGGCCCGTCGAGCCCGAGAAGAGCGACGTGATGAGCGGGATGATGAAGAGCAAGATGACGGGCAGGAGGCCTATTAGCGTCGACAGGATGCTCGGCTCGGCCTGCTGCTGCTGGTCCCCAGCCGCCGCGCCGTCCCGTGGTCTTGTCCTCGGCCGGCCGCCGCCGAACTGGTGTACCCTTATGCCGGGGCCGCCGCCCATGTTAAAGACGAACTGTGGGCCTGTGTCGAACCCTGTATTCGTTGTCATGAACGTTTAGCACATGTCATGCACCCAAGCAAACACCATGAAGGGGCGTGACACGGGCCAGTGGTCTCTTACCTCCGCCAAACGGCCCACCAAAGCCGCCCCCGCCAAAGAACCGCCTGAACATCTCCTCGGGGCTGATCTCCTCGTCGAACCCGCCCCCGCCGCCCCCGCCGGCGCGTTGCCTGTTGGTGAAGCCGGCAAAGGGGTTCTGCTGCTGCTGCTGCTGGCGGGCGCTCTCGAACCTCGAGTCCGGGTCGGTGCCGAAGCGGTCGAACTTGTCGCGCTTCTCCTTGTCGCCCAGGACGGAGAAGGCGCGGGCGACCATCTTGAAGGCCTCGTCGGCGTGCTCGTGGCCGTTCTTGTCCGGGTGCGTCAGGAGCGACTGCTTGCGGTAGGCCTTTTTTATCTCGGCGTCGCTGCACGACGCCTCGACGGCCAGGATCTCGTAGAAGGCGGTGGCGCTGCACCGCCGGATGCGCAGCACCGCCGCCTTCTGCTCGGGCGTGCAGCCGCGGCCCTGGTTGCCCTGGTTGTGCTCGCGGGACCGCGCCGCGCCGCCGTTGCCGGCGTCGGCCCCGGACGTCTTTGCGCTCATGTCGGGGGGTTGTGGCCGCCGCGGCGCTTGGTTGGCGTTGTGCGCAAGACGGAAAGCGGGGAACGAGAACCGTGACCGGAGGGGCGGTCAATAGTGGGATACGAGGGGTGCCCGGCCTGGCGAGCGGCCTAGAGGCGATTGTTGTTTATGACTGTTGTTGTTGTATCGTCGGAGTTTTCTTCCTTCTTCCCTCCTTTTTCTCCTTGGATCTCGCGGGACAATATCACACAGCTCCTAGAAAAGACCCTGGTCCAGTGACCTCCCTCTGGTCGGCCGCTAGAGGCACCGCGCTGAACCGTGGGTGGCGTGTGGAAGTCGGCGGATGGACGGTGGCCCGTGAAAGCTGATGGTGGTGGTGGTGGTGTGAGCGGGTGCGTTGCGATGGTCTCGCTTTCCATGCGGCCAGATATCGTTATCGTGGATTCGCTGTCCTCTTTTTTTTTCGTTTACTTTTTCTCGTCTGTCGCTTGGCTCAATCGGTGGGCGGAAAGATGGAACAGAATCCCAGCAAAGTGGATAAGCGGCAGCTGACGGTCCCCCTCGTCTGTCGGTTCTCTTTCAATGTCTTCAGCCTAGCCCGCCCGGTTACAGTGCAGCGGCGCAAATGTTTCGTTGGTTCCGTTTCGGCGACGTGGTTCAAGAAGCTTGCCGACGGAGCCTCGCTGCGAGTCAACAGCCCGCCCTCGCCGCTGTGGACAGCTTCCGGAACTCGAGTCGGAGCTGCAGCAGCCAGAGCTCCCTATTGGCAGGCCCAGAACCGCGGGTCAACCTGGGGCTACGCTTAGTCACCACCCGCTGGTCGATTGGATCTCAGGGAAGAGACGTCACTCTCACAGCGATTCCATTCGGAGGGTGCGTGCATGAATGAAAATTGGTGACGCTGTGGTTGGGCCTCAAGACCTGGGCGTTGAAATCTTGGTCGTTGTTGACATTCACATCAACGTGTGTAAACATTCAAGACGCCGGCAAAATCCTGAGCAACGAATAAACGAAATATAAAAACAACACACAATGGCTGCATTCACCTCACCACCAGAGCCTCCGCGCTCAGTCACCTCGCAGCTCGAAGCATGGGGCAGTAAGTCCACCTCACCATACCCGCCAGCTCAGACCTACCTGCCTACCTCCCCATAGCCCCCCTCTCACCTACACAGCAAGACTCACAACTGACAAAACCCCCGCCGCAGAATCATCCATGCCCTCAATGGGCCTCGCGACCCTGGTCACGGCGCTGCACTTCCGCCCCTTCCAGCCGCTGCCCATGGCCTTCGTGCCCGTGCTCGTCTTCAACAGCTACCTCTCGCTGGCCGGCTGGGCGATCGACGGCGCCGGCATGACGGCCGCCTGGAGCGGCATGTACACCCTGCTGGCCCTCCGCCGCCGGCCCGCGTCGCTGCGCTCAAAGTTCACGGCCCGCGGGCTCGTCCGGGGCGCCGCCATCGGGCTCGGCGCCGCCAACACCGTCGCCGGCGGCTGGGTCTACTTTATGGGCGATCGCGAGAGGGAAAAGGCCGAGAGGGTGACGCGGAACAGGTGGGGTGCGTTTGGCAGGGAGAAGTAGTGGGACAGCAAACTGGGGGGGAAACATCAAGAAAAAAAAGAGGGGACATGGGTAGTTTCTGATAAAATAAACAGAGACAAAAAGAAAGTAAATGAAAACCATGAAAGTGAAAAGTCGAGACCAAAATATCGTCACGCTCAGAGGACGGCAGACCCATGCTTTTTGGGGTGCGCCCCGGTCGAGTCTGGGATGCGCCAAGGCGGCTTCATGCAAAACTCTTGGCTGTGCGCCTCCGACGTCCGCAGTCCGCCAAAAGGGGGCGCGCTCATCACTATGCCCTGCTCGTTGTCTGTGGTTGGGCCCCCGGAGTTGCGCGGAAAGGTCAATCCACCTACCCCCGAGACAAAGGTGGATTATACACGGACGTCACTAGAAGCACTTGATACTACCTGGCTACACATGTCGCCGCGGGAGAAAAGTCGCTCAGGTTTCAGACTTAACGTATCGAGGCGGTGGCAATAGAGCGAGGGATGCTGTTGCGAGAGGCCATCTATCCACCATCGCTGTTCTATTCTGTCTGTGTATGATTGGACCTGGTAGTACATTGGGCAAAGGGCACCAGCTTCCTGCCTCACGGACGGGGAGTTGCTCTACGTAAAGAAAACATTTGAAGACCTGGTGGCATCTCACGAACTAACAAGAGGCTGAGACTGAGGTTTGGGGAAAACAAGGTGATCGGATACAGTCCGCACTCCCGACAATGACAAACAAGACAAGGCAATGAAAAAGAAGAACGAAAGCAGCACGCAAGACAAACTGCCAACCCAAGTACAACTCCAGGAGACGTCTCAGCTCTTGATGGTCTCCTCTTTATCCATCTAACAAGGCACCTCGCTTCACCCCACATCTAGAGTATGCCAAGTGATGCACACCACTCCCCCATTACTTCTTTCTGGGGCTAAGGCCCTTCCTGAACGCTGAGGCTTTGGTCGTGGCCGGTGCTGCAAATATGAAAATGCTGCTAGGGCCAGGATAGCTTAACCCATATCGCTCCGCCAATCTTAAGCAAGAGACGGCTATCCACTGATACCAGCGGCAAAAAGGACGGAAAGAGAAGGGGGTTGGTGGTGAAACGAGGCTCCGCAAAGAAAAAAAAAAAAAAGGCAGGAAAACATATGCAGTTGACAAGTCGACGCTTGTTGGCTCATCGAATGTCGACAAAGTGGTTTCGAGGCTGCCACGCAAAGCTTGAGCTCGAGGCGAACCAGACGGCCAGGACGAAGACGGTGAGCAGTGCCGCTCGGACGAAACACCACTTTCGCAATGCTAGCGACGATGTGTTGGCGAACATGGTGGGCGAGATGTTGGCCGACTCGAAGGCGGAGATGTACCGGATGTCGCACTCGCGCTCCTTGGGGGTGGCAAACGACTTGTACTCGTCCAGGATCGACGAGAGCTCCCAGCCAGTGACCTTCCGAACGACTCCGACGACGCAGCCGGTCCGGTGCTTGCCGTGGTTGCAGTGAATCAGCATCGGGTGATTCCTCCGGTCGAGCACGAGGCGGAGGATGGCCTGCATCGTCTTGACCGGTATGTCCTCCTTTTTGGTTCCCTTCATCTCGAAGATGTGGTGTTTAATCCCATTGGCTCGAAGGAAGGCTTGGTAGCCCTTGGGGAGCTCCTTGTTGACCAGCGTCCTGTTCCAAAGAAAGTCAGCATGTGGATTCAAAGGGTCATCTCTGGGGATGGCGTCGCGTCTTACACCACATTCCGCAACTGCAAGCCCTCAACAAAGGCAAAGTCCTCGGGCTGGGGATAGCCGCAGCGGTAGACACCGGGGACAATAACCCCAAAGTTGGTGGGCCGACCGGTCATGGGAAGCGAGGCCTTATGAAGGCCAGCCTCGAGCGGGACGCCCTGATTGTAGAAGTCCTTGACGGGGTCTAGCGGCATCAGCTTGCCGTCTTCGTTCCAGCTCAGCGGCTCTGTGGGGTCGGCCCAAGCGTCGAATAGCGTGCAATCCGGGAAGACGGCTGTGGTGGCCGTCGACGATGAACACGGGTATATCTCTGAGCCGACGGCCGTTTTGCTGCTGGAGGTCGAACCTCTTCTCTCCATGGCCTCGGGAACGAAATAGTCTTCGCAACTTGAGCCCCTGTTCGATTGGCGTCCTGCACCCTTTTGATCGGCACCCTCCTCGGTCGGGGCCCGAACACTCCTCTTGGACACGGTTTGTCCCGCAGCCTCCATCTCTTCTTTGGGTCCAGGGAAACGAACTTTGAACTGTCGACAACGGTGAGCGGTTGGAGATAGAGGAGAAGATAGGGAGAGCTACTGTGGCGAGCGGCAAAACGTGTTGAGTGGTGAGTTGGATCGTAGACGTAGTTGAAGGGGAGCGGTCGGTCCCGTCTGGTGCCAGGCGCAGCAGGGATGGCCAGGTAGGTGGTGCTCAAAGAGCACCAGCGTTGAACTGATTGCAGAGTCCACGGATCATTTTGTCGATGGAATGGTTGGTGGAAAAGGGGAAACGAGAAGGTTGGAGGCGCACACGAAAGCGAAGCGAGCCAAAGTGTATGTCGAGGGGGTGGGAGATGGGGGTGTTTTGTGGGAGGGGAGGATTGAAGGAGGACGTGCGTCTGGTGGGTTGACGTGGTGCAAAGAGGGAAAAAGGACTTGAGGAGCCAAAATAAAAAAGAATAATACGCTCGACTAATGGGCTTTGATCGGCAACAGCTCGACCCAACAGTTGGCAGCACACGACGCTACCAGGAGTCGCCTGGTGTCAGTGTGGCTGGCAGTGCTAGTCTTTGTGTTCTGTTATCCTTCTGAACTTTTTTCTTTCTTTTTTGCCTCAGTCCTTTCTTCCGTCCTTGTGGGGCCGGCTGCAGCTCCAGTTGCCCCGTCGGCTGGTTCGCGTGGGGGACGGGTTGCCAAGGGTGCCCCGGCTTCTGAGTTTCGACAAACTCACTGTCGACAGGGCAGGGTCCCTGCTGAGTCTTGATGGAATGGACGCCTAGGTGGCTGCGAATTAACTCGAAACGACTCGTGGGCGATGGAAGCTAAATATGCTCAGGGTTCAAGCGAGGCGTGAGCAGTAGGCGTCGAGAACAACAACACTGCTGCACGCCAGAGGAGACTACGTGGTGCGGACTGGCCAGGGCGGGTTGTGGCGCAACAACGACGAAGCATGAGTGGGCGAGGCCAAGAGCAGGCGGCCAAGGTTGCAGGGACTGGTGAGGTCAGGGAGAGGGTAGGCTGAAGGCTGGCTGGCGTTGGCGGCACAAGGGGGCAAAAAAAGGAGGCCACAAAAAGCATCAGCCAGCCAGCCAGCCAGCATGCACGCGTGACAAGGGAAGATTTAAGTGACTGGGCTGCTGTACGGCCAAGGGTTCTCAAAAAGATTACAGCACATTGATTACAACGCTGCGTGACTAGTTGTGCTCCGTTACTGGCAGGCACTGGCAGGATTTGGGATGCCGCTGATGCACGGCGAGGCAGACGGTCGCGTGTGCCTGCATCCAATCTTTCTGCTGGCCCGGCCTGGAACCTCGCAGCTTCACACGGGCTACAGCTGGACGCCGTCTTCGTGGGGTCGGCTGGCTGCACCTGCCCCAATCAAGCGGCCGGCCACCCATCTCCGGCGGCAGCTTCGACCTCATTCGAGCAGTTGAGTGGACCAAAAACAAGGGCCGCCTGGGGTGCGGGGCCTCCTCTGGGGGGCTTCCACTATGGCCATCGGGAAGCAAACACTCAATCGGAACAAAGATCCCGGATCCATTCATTGGTCGGCTGGAAGTACAGTTTGTACATTTTATTAGGTTGACCACCCAACAGTAACATTGGGGAGTTTGAGCTTTTTTTTTTGGGCTGTTCAATTTGCATTATCCATTCTGAGGGCGTGGAGCAGCTGGAGCACCAGCACAAAGAGTCAATGATGAGCAAATGACAGGAATGGGCACACAGTGACACTCAACACCCAGCAACCACCAACAGGCCTCGGTGCCTCATTCCTGCTTGTGCAACCAACCCTTTGATGATTGACTGCATTTCCTTCCTTTTTGTTTCTTTTTTGAACACCCGGGCTGGGTTCTGCGTTTTGCCCAAGTCTGCCGCAGCACCACCAAGGGTTAGCCCTAATCTAGCCGGATGTCCCAGCACTCGACGTCATAACCATGGTCCCTCTCGCTCGACCTCGCCGCCGGTTCCCGGAACCTTCTTGTCCCTGCGCCGGAGGATGATGGTGGGAGGCACCAGGCCAGCACGAATGGGCACGCGCGCTGCTGCGCCGATCATCTCACATGAAACGGTTGATCGGCTTGCCCGGCCAACTGGGAATGCAGGAGATGCACATGCTGTTGTACTTTGGAACTAGGGAAGCAAACGCGCGTGCAAATCGGGTGGTACCTGGCAGTGCTGAGCACCAGGCCACGCGGGCCAAGAGCAGAGAAGGCGACGGATGTGGCGCCTGGGATGTGGCGCCTGGGCGTCCCAGCCAGTCTCTAAACGGGATACGTCAGTCGCAAATCCAGGCGACTCTTCCGAGTTGGCACAAGCGTCACCGAACCTGGCTCGGCCGACGCTCTTGAGATGCACCAATAAATCCGATCCGGACCGACCAGCAATAAGAGGGGCCAATACAGATTGGTGCTCCCAGGCACGGTTTTGGACCTGCCCATGGCGTCTACTGTTGAGCGGTTTGTCATGGCAAAGATCCGGTTCCGTCTAGATAGGTTGCCCTTTTCGTGTCCCCCTTGGCTTTAATGGCTCAATTCTCTCAATCTATTGGAACCAAATCTTTCAAGACGACAATTTCATGTTGTATTTTTTTTGCTCCCCCAGGCTAGGGGCACGAGGTGGCACTGCAGCCTCGCTTCCCCCTTTTTTGCCTCGCTCGCCCTGGAGGTTACCTAAACTCCGCGCGCCCGCTCCGCCCAATAGTTCCACCCTAAGAGCACGATCCAACATTGATCTTTTCATCTCGGATCCATCCGCCCACAGCATGCCTAGCAGCGAGGGCCCAGTACACTCGGCCGGCACGACGCGCCCGGCTGCTGGCTGCATCATGTCCCAGTCCCCAAACCCAGCCACCCCCCCACCGCCTTGCCTGCCTGCCTGCCTGCCTGCCTGCCTGCTTGTCCACCTGCCCATAACCGTCACCGCCCTGCTGGCCCGTTCGCAGCACCAGCACCAGCAGCAAGGGACGCCCGCCCAGCAGCAGCGGGCCCGACGACCATGCGCCGTGGGTGCATCCACATCAGCACGCAGACCTCATCGCCCCCAGGGGCTGGGGCGGCAACGTCCCGCGCGCCCTGCTGCTGCTGCTGCTGCTGCTGGTCCAGGGGCCGCTGTCGCTGCACGCGGCTCTGCGGCGGCGATCCCGGGTCTCGGCGAGGCCAGCGCTGACAACCTACGTGTTCAGTCATAACCATCCCCTGTTCTGTAGTTCCTGCTAGCCTCGTTGTTGGGAGGCTCCTCGCCTGCCCGCCCTTTTGCCTTTTGCCGTCTGCCCCGTTTATTACACACGTGTGCGAATGTTGTGAGTGCTTGGATGACTGGTGGGTGGCCCCCGTGTTGATTGGAAGGACCCCTGGCGCTTTGGGTTCCCCCCTCCTTGGCTGCTTCTTGGTGAGCAGGGTTCGGTCGGAAGTCGATTGGATGGACGAGAAGAGAAAAAAAGGCCCAAACCACAAACGGTTGAGACAACAGCAACACGGGCTGTTTTTGGGGGGCGTCTTTTCCGCCTTTGGTTACTAGTCACACGACACCGACACACCGACAGGCGAGGAGAAACGTCCAGACTCATGCTCCCGATATCTGCTGCGTCTCCGGGGCTTGAGTACCCTTCTCCTGTTCATCTGAGCATTCGGGCTTGCCCTGAAACCTTGGGGCAATGAGCCTTGACCCTCCCGACGGAAACACAGAAATTTCCTTTTTGCAACCTTGGCGACGAGCACGCGGGTGTCATGAACTACTCTCTAATCCGGGGTTACTCACTCAACCATAAAGGGGCACGCCATGGCCCAGTTACGACCGCCCGTAAAGGGTAATATTATACAAGGAACTGATCCAGAGTCTATAGACTATATGTGTGGTAGGACATGGGGGAACGATGGGCAGAACAAGTACAATGAAAAGAAAGGGGAACTGGCCGTTTAACCTGTCGCTATGCACAAAACGTATCCCCAGAAGGAGCCCGTACAGAGCTACGTGAAATGAAACAAGGGTATAGAGTGTCAGCGTCGCACCTGGACACCGCCGCCCGTTAGCTTGTGCTGTACCAGCGGCCCAAGGAACGCGTTCCACAGCTGGTGCAGCACAAGGACCAAGACGAGCCAGTTGTCCTGTGCCCTGTAAGTCACAAGCCAGCGGTCCTCGGTGTAGCACTCGAACGCGATGCGGGCCGCCACACCGAGCTCCGCCAGCCCGATGAGCGAGCCGACGGCGGCCGTCAGCACCCAGGGCCGCCTCCCCGTCTTCGCCGTCGCCCAGAGCAGCAGGCCCTTGAGGTTGCCGAGGCTGACCTTGGCCCACACGACAAAGGTCAGGCAGCACACGCCCAGGGCGAGGTGCGAGCCGTACTCGGGCGGTACCAGCGTGGCGTAGCCCGGGATGAGCAGCATGCCCGAGACAGCGAGCAGGGCCATGTCGGACAAGCTGCCCCAGCGAGCTGGAGGGGAGATTGGACCCGAGCCTCCCGCTCCTGATCCCCTCCGGCCTCCAATCGTCTGGGTTTTACTGGGGCTGATGGAGAATGCTTGGCCGAACAGGTCAGACAGTGTGTTTCGTGGGTCACTGCTGGTTTCGGCAAAGAAGGAAGGCTCTTTGAAGGCGACGTCGTGTCGATCTTCGCCCGAAGTGGCCGGCCCCTGGCTGGATAAGCTGGGTCCGAAAACAGGGGACCTCTCCACCGGCGGCTGCTTCCGTAGGCGGGCGGCAGTTGGGGGGTTGAGCGCCCTCTGGGCGATGCTGGTGGGCGCTGGTGGTACTTTAAACCAAAACTGGCGGTGGTCTCCGCCCTCGGCAGGTGTCTGGCTAAAGCCCCTTAGGGGTTCTTCTGGAGAGCCAAACGATCTGAAGGCACGATGCTTGGATTGTGTCGGCGTCCAGTCCATTTCCGTCTCATATTGGACGCTTTGAGGTTCTTGCGGAGCGGCGAATGGGTTCCTGCTGGGAGGTGTGGCTGGCTCTCTCGCAAACCCATTTCCCTGTTCCCATAGAGGGCGCCGTACAGCGCTTGGCGGGCTGAAATACCGCCCAGTATGTCTGGTCGCAGATTCCGAGGATCGAATGATTGGGCTAGGGCTGAGGTCTAGGGCAGGCGCAGATGGGGTCGCCAGGACGTCGTCCAGTATTTCGGCCAAGCTGGCGGGCTCATTGTCGCCTGCTCGCTGCGGGGTTGACTCTGGCGGTGCCACAAGGGACCGTTTGGGCGATGTTGCGAATAGGGGGGTTGTGTCTGTCCGGATTGCGCCAAGGGATAGCCTAGAGATCTGTATTTTGTTAGGCACCTTCAGGGCCTAGACAGTCGAGATCACGGTGACTTACAAAAAACACAAAGCCAAGCATGAAGGTGTGCGCCGCCAACTGGGTGGGCACCTCGGACGCCTTTTGGGCGGAGACGCCCGGTATCGTGAGGGCGAGAATCCGCAACAGCATGATGATGACTTGGTACGTATACCATGTCGAGAAGCCCAGGAGATGTTTTGTGAACCCGCGGACCGTCTGCACCAGAAACGGGTTCCACCAGATGCTGGCCGCCGTGACCGCGATGCTCCATTTCATCAACCGCTCTGGGCCCGGCAGCGCCGAAAAGAGCCTGTCCACTACCGCGTCCAGCACCCAGCGGCCCCATGCGCCGCCCAAAACCGGCACTTGGTATTGGCCGGTAAGCTCCCGCATGATGGACGCGTGCCAGAGCGCCTGCAACACGAACCCGGCGAGCCATAGGTACCTACCGAGGGCGCCGACGGCGCCGAGCAGGCTCGTGGCCGCGGTGGGTGTGCGCTCCTTCCTGCTGCGGTCGATCATGCGACGGAGGTGGTCCGTCTTGGCCGTGTACCCGGCCTTCGTTATGCGCTGGAGCACCTTGGGTTCGCACTGCGCGCAGACTTGGGGGTACTGCTTCTCGAGGCCCTTGCGGTACTTGTAGAAGTTGCGCTCCCTCTCCTCGTACTCGGGGTCGTCGGGGTCGTCGGGGAGGTACTGCGCCAGCGAGCTCGTGAATATGCGCTGGTTTTTGAGGCATGTCGAGCAGAAGACGTCGCTTGATGGTTCGGACGCGGGACTGCCGAAGCTCGGCTTCGGATCGGATCTGATGGATGCGGCCGTGGCCTCGAGGGGAGGATCCGTAATCTCTCCATTCTGTAGGTTCGTATGAGCATGTCAGACCATACTAGGCTAGCATTTCCCAAGTGGCCTGCGATGACAATGTTCCTACCTCGTCTAGGTAGTTTGTCGCATCGCAGCTGGGACACTCAAAGTGCCGGACGCTGCCATCGTTGCGGGTGGACGTTTTCCGCCCGCAGTAGAAGCAGGTGAGGTATCGCGACCGCCGTAGGGTTGGCATGGCGGTTAGGGGCGCAGAACCATCTCTGAGAAGCAAAGTCGTCGGTGGTTTGGCCGTAATGGCCTGCTATTTTCCTTGTCCGGGAGCCTTTCTAGGTTCTGCGACGAGATGTCGAGATGTTGACCTCGCTGGTGCTCAGCCCAAAACATTAGAATCGATAAGACCAATTGCGAACTCGGATACCTGCCGGTTTGCATGCGCAGCCCCACTTGCATGTGGGCCAAACAGCTTGACTGGACCCGGGCACCAGCTGAAAAAAAAGATCCGAAAAGGAGGGACACCCATTTTGAAGTCAATTAACACCACCAAAAAAAACCAATAATTGTAATTTATGTGCAAATTAATAGGCAGTCATTTTGCTCTAGCTTTGTATAATTGGCGAAAGAATCCGTGTTGTTTTGGGCGTGTTATGGTGCAATTAAATTGATTAAGTTTGTTTTGATCATTTTTGCCATAGAGTTTGAGTTTGGGTGGGGAAAAGCATTTTGCGGTTCGGATTTTTTTTTTCCAGTTGGTGCCGGGGTCTTGAAGCTGCCAAGCTCAATCGATTGAATGCGTCACCTGCCCAGGTGGACAGGAAGAAAAGAATGCGACAACCTTCATGTCCAGCTTCTCCTAGGGCTGAACGTAAAGCTACCGCAAGAGGTGGCCTGCCCACTCTGTTCGAAAACGTGGCAGCGCCAGGGACAGTCACAACCATGGCCGGCCAAGCTGAGAAAAGCTCCCCTGACAGTATGTTCTCCCCTGAACGCCCCGCCAAACCAGGCATGGGTGATGCTAACTGCCCACGACGTCATCCCTAAAGGCCCTCATGTCACTGGCAATCGCAAAAAGCCATTGACTGAGGACGATTTAAACATCACCGACGCACTTGGAGGCAACGATCTTCGCTACTACCTTCTGGCCATTGTTGGAGCTTTGACTTTCTTGGCTGCAAGTGTGGTGCTTGTTCCACTCTACCTCTTGATCTCGGCTATCCTTGCCATTGGCATTGCAGGAGTCACTTTCATTGTGGTATGCTCTTCAACAGGCCTCATGGAAAGGATCGGCATAACTCTGACATCCTAAACAGGGCCGCCATGTATCCTTGACCCGGGCTCGGGCTCGGCAGAAAGGCTCGCTGTGGGCGGCCACCACGGGCTCCAGCACGCCAGGGACAGGGCACCTGCCCGCCGTGTACTACACGTACATCCTCGGCTCGGGCGGCCACACGGGCGAGATCTCAGAGTTCATCAAGCGCAGCTACGAGGGCCACGATAACCTGCATCGCAGGTACATCATCACGTCGGGCGACACCCACTCGCCAAACGTCATCGCCAAGCTCGAGACGCTCATCCGCGACACCGCCCGCGGCCAGCCTACGGGCACCTGGGACGTCGTCCGCGTCGCGCGCGCGCGCAACGTCCACCAGCCGCTGTGGACCGCCTGGTACACGTCCCTGCTCAGCGCGCTCTCCATCGTCAACGCACTCATCAAAGAGCCACGCAGCCGCCCGAGGACAACGTTTGGAGCTGATTTCCGCTACCCCCATGTCATCATGACCAACGGCCCGGGGACTGGCTTCATTGTCTGTCTGGTCGCTTACGTGCTTAAACTCCTCTCCGTCGTCCCTGCGGATCGGGCCAAGATGGTCTACATGGAGACATGGGCGCATATCAACACTCTGAGTCTGACCGGGAAGCTATTCTATCACTCGGACATTGCCGACATGTTTATTGTCCAGCATAAGCCCCTTGCGGAGCGCATCGGCAAGCCCTGTCTGCAGCTGTTCAAGCCGCCCGTGTATGCGAGGTCTGGGGGCTCCTGATTAGAGTGTCAGCCTTCATAGCGCCGGGGAGAGTGAAGCAACTTGGGGTGGAATCTTTCTTTCTTCGAGACACAGCTAAGCATGGCAATATACAGTCCATTCAGTTCTGCCACATGTATAGTGTACACGGCGGCGGCTCGACTGCTTTGTCTAGCTAAACCAGTCAGGGCGCGTTTATGCTGGTGTGGCTGTTTCGTCAATGGCGACTTCAATATCAGCGGCGTCAACCTCCTCTGTGGTTGTAGAACCATACGAGGTGTACGCAGCGGCGCGGGCGGCTTCTCCGGCCTTGTGCCGTTTTGCGGCCCATGCCTTCCACCTCTCGTACTCGTGGTCCTCAAGGTCGGCGCCCACTTGCAGGGCGTTCTTGCCAAAGTAGGCACCCACCATCATGGCCTCCTCACGGGCTATCCTTCGCTCGATCTCCTCTTCCTGCCTCAGCTCGTAGAACTCGCGTCGTGCCTTATCATAGGCTGCATTTTTACTCAGGGGCCCCATCATGACCAGTTCTTTGGGACTCTCTGAATCAGAGGGATCCACCCGCTCCCGGCTCAAGTGCTCGTTGTTCATCAACCACATCTGCCTCTGGACGACGCTGTGGAGGGCGAAGGCAAGGTGCGTCAGCGAGAGGGAGTCTACCACGTTTCGCTCGTCCACAGCACGGGAAAATCTGTCTGGCCGATTCTGCCGGGTTGTGCCAATGCTGCTCACCTTTCGCCCGTCAGTGGGATGCCTCGCTGCGCAATACCCTTGCTCCAGTCGCAGTACCACGAGTCTTTGCCGTCGACCTCGAGGATGACCCTCGGCCGGGCCAGCTCCCACGGATGGTCCCTGTAGAACTCTTGCCGTAGCTTATCCTCCGGGTACACAATATTCTGTGGCTTGAAGATGTTCTTGGGGCTCCTCGACTTGGAGGCAACTTTTTGGTGCTGGACTGGAACGGGCCGTGTCAGGAGCTCCGAGGGGGGGATGCTCTCGATGGCCTTGAGCCATTTTGGCGTGGCCGGCCTCCCCCTTTCGTTGCCGCGGAAGGCGCTCAAGGACTGCCTCACTGCCTTGGCGACGTTGACCGCCCGCAAATCACGGCCGCGGACCATGGCGGCTAGAGAGGACGGAGGTGTTGCGACGGAGACGCCCCCTGCGCAAGCCCAATCGAGGTTGAGTGGTCGGCTCAGGCAGGATGGAGGAGATTCGGTGGTGAATGGGCCGGTTCTCGATTCCCGCCGAGGACACCGCGGTCTTCCAGGGCCTGACCGGCTTCAATTCGCAGGTCGTGTTGCGATCAATCCAGCCAATAACACCCACTTCCCCCAAAATCGAGCGATGTGGAATTTTTGGGGTCGTCGTCGAACGCTGCGCGACGCGGGCCCACCTAGCGAGCTGTCGGGTTGGCGGGCGGGGGAGGAGGTCACCCCCAGAAACTCTCCAGATCCCTGCTGATTACGCTATCGATAAAGTCGCAATTGGGAAATTCTTGATGTTTGGAGGGTGGGATTCAGAACTTCACCAGGGAGCTCCACCCGAGGCCCTCAGATTTCGAGCTCTGAAAACCGCAGACGTGCGAGGCCGTCGGACAACGCAGCAAGCCCGCGAACCTGGCAGCCTGGACACAGATGCTTTGAGGGCGCCTAGCACAATGGTGGCCAGCTCATGAACCTCTCCAAACGAATCGAAAGGTCGATATGCGGCACCAGGCTTCTGCACCGGCCATCGCCAGGCCCACCACCTCGACCGGCCTGCTGCGCCAAATTTGCGACGACGGGGGAGCAAGCACAGGCAAGCCCTTATGCTGGGCCCTATCGCCACCATGCTGGACCGTTGTATCTGCTCGGCAGCTGCTTCTCTCGATTTGGAGCACTGCAGCTTCAGCACTCTTCCGCACTGTACACAACCTGCCCCGCGGGCTTCAGCGACGGCTTCTTCACCCCTCACACGGGCCAGCGAGGCGGCAGGCCGACTGCATCCCTAGGCAATGCGGCCTACACAGGCGCAAAGGGCACAGGATATCACACAGGGGAGGGAGAATCCAATCCGATCGGGGTCCCCGACCATGACAGGCAGCCCACAAAGGAGGAGCTTCTGGCCATCGTGGGGCAGTACGACCCAAACGAGACCGTCGACGGGCATCTTCAGTTCGTCAGGGACCCCTATCTTCGAGGATATGCGCAACCCAATGGCCCGGTGATGGCGGACCCTCCGGTACCCGACGGTGCGCCTCGGCATGCTGTAACCGAGTACAGATTTTATCCCAACATCGAGGAGAGACGGATCCTGATGCGCCTGCGGGAAGCAGTGGATTGGCGCTTGGGGAACCCTGTCCCGGAGGACGAAGCCAGTTCCGCGGCAGTGTATGCAGAATACACCCGGCTGGGTGAACCACAGCTTGCGCTTCAGATTCGCAGCCTGCGTCACGACCTTCTCCGCTCGTTGAGCCAGGGGGTAAAGCGGAATCACAAGAATATGCTTCGCTATCTATCTGTGGTTGGCACGGTGAAGAACTGTGGCTATGCGCTGTCGCAGGGCCAGTGGAACGCCGCCATGTCCTTTGCGAGCCGCTACGTAGGCTCGTCGAGCGAGACCGAGGTAGAGGCTGCCCTCGGCATATGGCGCGAGATGGAGCACATGGCAAGCATCAAGGCCAACGGGGTCACGTTCAACATCCTGTTCGACGTGTCCACCAAGGCCGGCAACTTCACCCTCGCCGAGATGCTGTACCGGGAGATGGAGAACCGCCGGATCCCCTTCAACCGCTACCACAACGTCTCCCTCATCTACTTCTTCGGCATGATGCTGAACGCGGACGGCGTCAGGGCCGCGTACCGCGAGATGGTGGAGGCGGGCGAGGTGATCGACAAGGTCGTGCTCAACTGCGTCATCTCGGGCCTCCTCCGGTGCGGCGACGAGGCCGGGGCCGAGCGCGTGTACGAGAAGATGAGGACGTGGCGCAGCAACAAGCGCTGGCGCCAACCCCAAGCCTACACGACGCACAAGGCCGTCACCAAGGCCTTCATCATGTTTGCGCGCGTCGCGCGCCAGCACCCGGAGCTGCGGGGCGGCTTCCAGGTCGCGGCCCCGATGATGCCGGACCTGCAGACGTACCGCATCCTGATGCGCCACTACGGCGTCCGCGTCGGCCGCATCAGCGACGTGGCCCGCTACCTCGAGGACATGAAGCACTTCCACGTCCCACTGCACGGGAGCATCTTCCTGGCCCTCTTCAAGGCCTTTGCGCTGCACGGCTCCGCCAGCGTCGCCGACTGGGGCCCCGAGCGGCTCTTTGGCGTGTGGGAGGCGCTGCTCAGCGCCCTGGACAGCCAGAGCGAGGGCCTCTACGTCGACACCTGGCTCGTCGGCTGGGCTCTGCGAGCGTTTGCCAAGCTGGGCCAGCGTCGCATGCTTCTCGACGTCTACGCCGAGCTCGGCGCGAGATGGGACCTAGACGACGAGAATAAAGAGTTTATGGTGCAGTTTCTGCACCGCTTACTGCGAAAACACAAGATACCCATCCCACTCGAGGGTTCGCCCTCCTGGAGTCAATGGAGTTCCGGCCGGTAAAGGGAAAATGGGGTTGTAAAATATCGGCCACCCTCACATATACAAATGTTCGTAATCATATTTCATGTAAATAACAAACAGTAACATATCATATAGCATGGATCTGCTTAGAAGCGTGCATTAGTGAATGATGTGTTTATTGATACTCATTCGAGGCGTAATAGACATCACTCGACTGTTTCGTATGCACGACTTTCGCAGTTCACAGACGCATCTTACCAGCAAAGAAGACTGCTGGTTCACAGCGTTTATTGGTGGAGATATAAACACATCCCGCACAGGCTCCCTCGTCCAACGCCATAGGCTGGGACCGGCCAGTCGACAGACAACCAAAGCTCTCGAGTGATCCTCCGCATATATTCGAGCCGCTTACCGGGGCTTGTAGGTTTGCCAGGCTTGAAGAAGCAAGTAATGTCAGCGTCGTACCCCGATGGCATAAAGTGTCCCAGTCCGATCACCCATGATACGATGACCGTGGGGAGATCTAGAGGCGCAACGAAAGCACAAACAGTCTATCCTTCCCAGCGACTCCTCTACGGGCCTGTTACGGCCAAGGCCAGCCACCTTTGCCCCCGCCCGAGATACGTACCAGCGATGCCGAAGGGGGCGAAGAAGCCGACGAACGAGTAGGTCCAGAACTGGACGCCGAACCACTTGCTCTTGGGGTTGAAGGGGATGTTGGAGTAGGGGCCATCGGGGTAGTGGTAGGGCGACGAGAAGCGGGCGCGGGTCGCGTGGAAGCCGCGGCGGCCGACGAGCGAGGTGGTGGTGCGCGAGGCGGCGCGGGCTCCGGCGGCCGAGATCATCTGCGTGCCAGTCGGTTCAGTGGGTGCCCCAATTGGCTTCTCTTGGGCGGGTGTGGGAGCCTCACCTTGACGGTTGGTTGAGAGGAGATTGTTCTGCAGCTATCTGGGGGGGGGGTGGTGGTGGTTGCGACAGGCGCTCGTTTTCGTGGGTGACGTTGTGGAGGAGGTGAGCCGTAGCCGAAAATGGTGTGACATTTTGCAGGAGCCTTGCCGGAGCCGGGTTGGATGGCCCGTGCCTCATTGGCTCCTGCCCACGTTAGGCCGCAGGTACCTGCAAGTGCTTTTTCTAGCTTTGCATCTGCGCATCTAATCCACCCATTCCGCCAGAGAGACCAAGAAAAAACATACACTCCTGCGAGGCATAGCAAAAAGAAAATACCGATAGGAACCAGGAACAATAAGAAACAGCGTACATTGCCTGGGAGCCTAGCAGCCCAACAGGACAAGATAGCTCAGCATTTCGGACGTGTCTACTTCTTTCAAGCAGTGTTGCCCACCTTGCCTCTGGTTCACTGCCCCTCCACCTCCCCGGTTTTCGCAAAATTAGTGGAGAAAAGTACACCACGGTACTGCCTCCAAGCTCAATCCGCCTGCCTGTTTAAAGCCGGCCGCCGGCTTTTTCTGCCATCCCCACCTAAACTTTTTTCCTCGTCCATCATTGATCGCATTCCGCGGCGAACTCCCAACCTGTCGCGACACTGCTCGCAACAGGTCGCCTGCTTTTATTTACCACCTTCGACTTGATCCATCTTAACACAGCTTCGCGTCACTGCTGTCAGCCCTTCCAAGACACGGCCCTCGCGGCTGTGCGCACCGCGACCATGGACCTGTTTGACGTCTTCGACGAGCAGCCCGAGGCGCCGCCCGCCGAGGCGGAGCGCATATCGTCGGAGCAGAAGTCCTCGGAGCACAAGTCCAAGAAGTCCAAGTCAAAATCAAAAAAGGACAAGAGCAAGAAGCGCAAGGCCGACGGACATGTTAAAATGGAGGAGGCGACAGAAGAGCTGACCCTCGACTCGGTCCCGGAGGATCCTGCCGCCGACAGAGACGTGGAGATGGGCAACGGCACCCAGCCCTCAACCGAGGGAGGCGCCGGCGCCGAGGACGACTCGGGCTCGGAAGACCATGGCGACAGCAAGCGCCGAAAGAAGGGGGCCACGGCGGAGCCCATCCTCACCGACTCGTTTGCGACCGCCGAGTCCAGGCAGGTCGCGCCCGTCGAGGGCTTCAGCGCCGCGGCGGGCGAGGAGGCGATCGTGCTGCAGCACAACGTCCAGCATCAGGTCGCGCTCCCACCAGACCTCGACTACATCTACGTGCCCTTGTCCCAGCACAAACCGCCCGACGAGCCAGCCCGGGTCTACCGTTTCAAGCTCGACCCATTCCAGAGCATCTCGGTCGCCTCGATCGAGCGCGGCGAGAGCGTGCTGGTATCGGCCCACACCAGTGCCGGAAAGACGGTGGTCGCCGAGTACGCCATCGCCCAATGCCTGAAGAGGAATCAGAGGGTCATCTACACCTCACCGATCAAGGCGCTCAGTAACCAGAAGTACCGCGAGTTCCAAGCCGAGTTCGGCGACGTGGGCCTGATGACGGGCGACGTGACCATCAACCCCACGGCGAGCTGTCTCGTCATGACGACAGAAATCCTGCGATCGATGTTGTACCGCGGCTCCGAGATCATGCGCGAGGTTGCATGGGTCATCTTCGACGAGATCCACTACATGCGCGATGCGATCCGTGGCGTTGTCTGGGAGGAGACCATCATCATGCTTCCGGACAAGGTGCGCTACGTGTTCTTGTCGGCCACTATCCCCAACGCCTTCCAGTTCGCCGAGTGGATCGCGAAGATTCACAGACAGGCCTGTCACGTCGTCTACACCGACTTCCGGCCGACCCCACTTCAGAATTACTTCTTCCCAGCTGGTGGCGAAGGCATCTACCTGGTCGTGGACGAGAATGGAGTTTTCAGAGAGAAGAACTTCAACTCTGCAATTGCCGCGATCGAGGATAACAAGTCCAAAGATGCAAACGACCCGAACGCACGCCAGACCGGCAAAGGCAAAAATAAGAAGCCCAGGAAAGACACGGGTCCTGACGCGAAGTCGGACATCACAAAGATCGTCAAGATGATCATGAAGAAGGCGTTCCACCCCGTCATCGTGTTCAACTTTAGCAAGCGCGAGTGTGAGAACCTGGCTCTCAAGGTGTCCAGCATGAACTTCAACCACGAGACGGAGCAGCAGCTAGTGGATGATATCTTCCACAACGCGATAATGTCGCTTTCTGAGGAAGACCAAAATCTGCCGCAGATCCAGCACCTGATTCCCCTTCTCAAGAAGGGCATCGGCGTGCATCACGGCGGTCTCCTGCCCATCCTGAAGGAAACCATCGAGATCCTCTTCCAGGAGGGTCTCATCAAGGTTCTTTTCGCAACCGAGACCTTCTCGATCGGCCTGAACATGCCCGCGAGGACAGTTGTTTTCAGTCAGGTGACCAAGTTTGACGGCGTCAAGGAGAGGCCGCTGACCTCGTCCGAATACATCCAGATGGCAGGCCGTGCTGGTCGCCGCGGTCTGGATGACCGAGGTATCGTCATCATGATGATTGGCGAGCAGCTCGAGCCGGAGGTGGCCAAGGGCATCGTTGCCGGCCAGCAGGACCGTTTGAACTCGGCCTTCCACCTGGGCTACAACATGATCCTCAACCTGCAGCGTATTGAGACCGTCTCGCCCGAATACATGCTGGAGAGGTGTTTCTACCAGTTCCAGAACGCGGCCGGTGTCCCGATGCTGGAGAAGAAGGTCAGGGACCTGCAGCAGGAGAAGGACGGCATGGTGATTCCCGACGAAGGCACAATAAAGGATTACCACAATGTCCGTCTCCAGATCGAAGAGTACAAGAAGGATATGGAGGCCGTCATCCAACATCCAAACTACTGCTTGGAGTTCATGCAGCCCGGCCGGCTGGTCAGGATCAAGACGCCCGATGGCCTCGACTTTGACTGGGGCGCCATTGTGAACTTCACAAAGCGGAAAGATGCCAAGTTTGGGGAGCCTGAGCATTCTCCACAAGAGTCTGTCATGATCGACGTGGCTCTTTTCGTCTCGCACAACACGGATGAGATCGTGCCGGGGGTAGTCCCCAAGAAGGGACACATGACTGAGGGTGTCACACCACAGGGTCCTTCCGAAGAGGAGGGCAAGATCGAGATTATCCCGTGTCTTTTGACGTGTCTCGTCGGCATCAGTCAGCTCAGGGTATTCATGCCCAAGGACATACTAAACCGGGAAGGAAAGAACGCCATCGGCAAGGTCCTGACCGAGGTCCATAACAGGTTTCCCGACGGCTTACCGATCCTGGACCCGATCGAAACGATGGGTATCAAAGACGAGTCGTTCAAGAAGCTCATGCGCAAGATCGAGGTGCTCGAATCCCGCCTCCTGTCGAACCCACTCCACCAGTCACCCCACCTGCCCGAGCTCTGGGACCAGTACAAGGCCAAGGTCGAGCTCAGCAACCAGATCAAGGAGGCCAAGAAGGCCATCAACAAGGCGCACAGCATCGCGCAACTGGACGAACTCAAGTCGCGCATGAGGGTGTTGCGGCGCCTGGGCTTCATCAACGACGCCGAGGTTGTGCAGATGAAGGCCCGGGTCGCGTGCGAGATCTCGTCGACCGAGGGTCATGAGCTAGTCCTTGCTGAGCTGCTGTTCAACGGTTTCTTCAACGACCTCACACCCGATGTGTGCGCCGCCATCCTCAGCTGCTTCGTCTTTGACGAGAAGATGGAGGCGGAGCCACTCAAGGAAGACCTAGACAAGCTCGTGCGCCAAGTGCACGCGCAGGCCAAGACGATCGCCCGCATCAGTCGTGAGAGCAAGCTGGACATGCCAGACGAGAAGGTTGTGGCCAGCCTCAAGTGGCAGCTTATGGATACTGTCCTAGCCTGGGCGAAGGGGCGGCCGTTTATAGAGATATGGTAAGCTTCACGCTCTTTTGTACCAACTCCTGTGGGCCAGAAATATGCTAACATCACTTCGCGACACAGCAAAATGAATAGCGCATACGAAGGATCGCTCGTGCGCATCATTCGTCGCCTGGAGGAGCTGTTGAGGCAGATGGCCGAGGCCGGCAAGGTCATGGGCAGCGAGACGCTGCAAAAGAAGTTCGACACGGCACTGTCGCTGATTGCGCGAGACGTGGTGTCGGCGGCCAGTCTATACCTCTAATCTCACGACCATCTCGTCCCTTCCGCCTCGTGCTTATTTTTCTTTGCGGATATCAAGATTTGGGAGCATTTAATGCATAGCGTATAGTTCTGTTCCCCCCCGTTGGGTCCTATGGCGCAAGGAAGCATATTATCGGGGCGTCTGATCTCTCAGTCATCTGGTGATGAGTTATCGCCATGCTTCTCGCAGATCGCGATGCCTTTTTAGTGCGGGGTATTTGAAGGCTGGGGCAGCGGTGCATCTCGGCTGTGCGAGCCAAGATGAGACTGAACGAGTCCATGATATCGCCAGCCACGATCCCTCGGACGTGCTCGTTCATAAAGAGCGGGTTTGAAGAAACTAGAAAATTCATGATTGGAATCCGCCGTGATAAATAGCAAGCTGAGAAACAGAGCAGTCTACAGAGTGTCTATCGAGCCACGCCACGTCTGGGAGCGGGCCAGTGGATTAATGATGCCAGTCGCCGAACGCCAAGGATGAACAAGATGCCGGACAGTGAAAATACAAAAGAAGAAAGCTGCCCCCCCGCCGCCTCACTTGTTCTCGCCCGAGATGGAGCGTATCATGCCGATGGTGAGGCCGAGCACGAAGCCGAAGCTGACAAAGACCTTCCACCTGCGGCTGTACAGGCCCTCCTCGCGGATGAGCCAGCCGAAGCTGCCGAGCGGCCAGACGAAGCCGATGAGCATGCCGCGGAGCAGCACGTCGACGACGCCGTTGAGGCCCAGCTCGTCGCCGCCGTCGCCGCCGCCGCCGCCGCCGCCCTCCCCGTCGGCCCCGCCGTATGCGCCGCCGCCAGGCTGGGTATTGCCACCGTTGTTGTTGTCCATCCAGGCGTCCTCCATGGACCGCAGGGCGTCGGGCGACGGCATGGTGTCGGGCGTGTGGCGCGAGGCCTGGATGGAGCGGAACTGCAGGCGCAGCTGGTTGACCTCGGCGGCGCTGAACCCGGCGGCGAGGAGGCGGTCGAAGCCGCGGGGCGTGTTCCTGTCGGTGGTGGTGCCGCCGTTGCGGGACGATGATGGTGATTGTGACGGAGAGAGCGGGGCAAAGGGGGACGGCGATGGCGACGGCGAAGACGGGGGTGGCGCGACTGCTTCTACTGCTGCGGCGGCGGCCTCTTCGGCAAGCTCGGCGTCGGTGAGGAGGTCGCCGATGGAGCAGTTGACGTAAACGCGGGGCAGGGCGGGCGCGGCGCCCTCGACGGCCTTGCCCTTGCCTGACGCGGCGGCGGCGGTGGCATCGGCGGCGACCGCTGGGGATTTTGAGGACGATGTCTGCGACGAGGGCGGCGGCGGCGGCGGCGGCGGCGGGAAGTAGGACGACAGGGGCGGCGGGGCGGCGGCGGCGGCGGCCGACGGCGGCTGGCGCAGGACGCTGGACAGGACGGACTGGTCGGGCAGGATGCGCCCCGCGTGGATGAAGCGCAGGCGGCGCTGCGACGTGGGCTCCTCGAGGCGCGAGCGGATCAGGTGCTTGAGCGCGACGACGGTGGTGGCCGAGGGCCGCGGGATGTCGAGGTGCAGGTCGGGCAGGCTGGTGGAGAAGCGGATGGTCAGGAGCAGCGGCGGCGGCAGGGGCTGCAGGCGCGGCGAGGGGGGCGGGCTGCGGCCGTGGTGGTGGTGGTGGTGGTGCCGGTGGCCGTGGCCGTTGAGGTGCAGCGGCGGCCGCAGGCGCTGCGCCGACGAGGCCTTTGTGGGCGACGAGCTGCTGCTGCCGCTCCCGCCGCTCATGGTGATGGTCTGGTGCAGGGGTGTTGGAGGGCTGGGGGTGGCGTCATGGCGCTTTGGGGGCGTCTGGGCGGCGGCTCTGCGACGGGGTCTTGTCGAGCTTCCACGACTACCGGGCGGCCGCTGCTCACGCGACCGAGGTTGGCTGGTGGTGGGATGCGAAGGGAAGAGAGCGTTGACATCCACCCGTCCGCGGGGGTCCCGCTTTGATAAGATAAAAGATGGTCCCCTAACCCAGACCAAGGGACCCAAGCAGCCAAGGCACAATGATGAGGAAAAGATGCCAAAAGCTTATGGGAAGAAAACGGAAAGAAGGAAACAAAATAAAAGCACGTGCACTCCATGTATTCTCTGATTAAAACTCTATCGCTGTCCGGCAAGGCCGCCTTATCCAAGGCCTTGCCGCGAAGCCTACCATACTGTTAGGTACGCATTCCCACGTATTCTTTCCATACAGGCCATTAGTCGTTGGGGCAATCCTCCTAGTATGACCCCCCCACAAAAGAAACAGCCGCAACGATAATCCCACATCGTCATCTCAGGTGGTTACCCCCAAGTTAGCTGTGTGATCGCTCCTGTTTATGACTCGCCTCCTCAAGCTCCTTGCGCGGCCAGTCGGGGCAAATATCGATGTTCTCGCGCGGGTACCAGAACTCGAGGAAGAGGAAGAGCAGATAGTCCAGCACGACACAGAGGCAGAACAGCTTCCCCGCCCATATACCGCAGCCATAGTACCGCTTGAGGCGGTCGATGAGAGCAAAGCTCTGGACGCCGGACCGGCCCCTGGTGGCGCTCCAGCCTTCGGCGGCCGCGGCCACGCCGTCGTGGCCGTAGAACTCGGCCTCCGAGATGGCGCCCGAGATGCCGTCGTAGACGCGCTCGGTGCGCATGGCGACGTTGGTCCACGAGTACATGGACCGGACCTGCTCGTGGAAGCGCTCGGTGCGGACGCGCCCGGACCGCAGCGCCGCGATGGCCCTGCCCGTCGCCGCCACCAGGTCGTCCTCCTCCGGGCGCGCAAACACCGTCATGTGGCTCGGCAGCACCTCGGGGATGCCGCCGACCTGCGTGCACACCACGTACAGGCCGCAGCTGGCCGCCTCGACGATGACGGTGCCAAAGGCCTCTGTCAGCGACGGGTGCAGGTAGATGTGCCCCCGCACCATGACGTCGCGCACGTCCTCGTGCCGCACGGGGCCGAGCATCTCGACGCGGTCCTGCAGCACGTTCTGCTCGATCATCTGCTCCAGGTCGATCGACTTGGGCCCCGAGCCCGCGATGATGAAGCGCGTTTTGGGGTGGTTGTCCAAGATGCGAGGGATCGCCGCCGTCAGCAGGTCCGTGCCCTTGTTGTAGAAGAGCCTGGAGATGACGACGATGGTGATGGTGTCGTTGGGGCCGGGCGGGTTCCGCGGCCACTGGGGGCTCGGGTCCGTCTGCCGCCCGCTGCCACTGGCCGTGCCTGACGCCGCCGCCGTTCCAACGTGGGCTTTTGTAGGCGATCCTGGCACGGGTCTGAGCGGCGCATCCGACACCTGGCTCAGTGGCCTAAAGTTCTCCGCAACCACCGCGTTAGGTATTACCGAGACCATTAAAGGGTCCAGAGAGGCTCGCAGCACGGTATTCTCCTTGCTGCAGGGGTGGTTGGGCTCAGTCAGCTAGGTCAGCCCGCTTCCACGTGGGATCGGCGGCCTATAGCACCAGGAACATGGCACATGGACTAGCTCACCAGGTATGGCTGACGCATATAACATGGTCTACATCACTCAAAGTGAATTTGAGAAGTTTGTTGGTGAGAATGCTAGCGGGATCCGCAAAGCCAAACAGCGAGTGGTCGGTGAAGACGGTGCGCAGGCCCATGGTGCGGGCGTGCAGGATGGCCTCATGGCACAGGCTGCTGAGGCTGGCATGGCCATGGACAATGTTGATGCGCTCGCGGAGCACGATGTTGCGGAATATGGGGAAGAAGGAGAAGAGGGTGGGGAAGGTGGCGGAGCGGTAGATGACGAGAAAGGGCACGTGGTAAACCTTGAGGCCGTTGGTCAGGTAGCGGATGCCGCTGCGGCCCTCGTAATTATGGGTGATGATGATGACTTTGTGGCCACGGTCCATCAGCTTGGTCGAGAGCTGGTAGATGTGGCTCTCAACACCGCCGGGCTGCGGGAAAAAGAAGTCGCTGACCATGACGATGTTGTACGTGCGACGCATCTTGGGCGGCGGGCTGGCAGGCCTGTGTTGCCAATGGTCATCTTTTTCCTGTTTGGCCCAGTGGCTGTATGTTTGTTTTGCTATCGATGTCTGGTTGAGGTGTTTTGGACTGTGGTTTTGGGGCTGTCCAACGCGCCTTCATTCTCAGGTGCCTTGTGATTGAAGACGCCCAATTCGATTGAAGTCGCGCACGAGCCACCCCTGTATACCCGCCGCCTTGCGTCCTCGGGGTATCATGTATACTATGCAGGTTTCGTTTTATTTCGCGATCAGCGGGGTGTTTATCCTGTGCTGCGGTGTCAGCCTGCATGTTTCTTTTTTCCCATCTTTCAATCGAGTTCTGCCAGTGCAACATTCTCGTTGTAAGCATTCATTCAGCTCGGTACAACATGGCACAAAAAGCAAGATGAATTCCTGTTAAATAAACATGCGGAAGCAAAAAAAAAAAAGAAAGAAAAAAAAGAAGAAAAAAAAAAAAAAAAAGGCGCAGGTCGGTTTCAAATCCTGATCTGCATTGCAGCCTTTGCGACATCTCCGGTACCGGCGCTGCCGTTTTGTCGGGCTCTGGGAATCCGGCACCGCATGGATGCTCCTGAGCTGTACCTAGCCTGACGTTGGTGGCTGCAGTTGGCGCTCCCTCTCATGCGTGTTCCCTGGGCTGTGTCGGCTTGGATCCTCGCGATCTTCGCGACGCAGGACTCGAAAAAGGCATGGCCTGTTTGACCCTAACCTTTTACCAATGGATGGCGCTCCTCGGCTGTGGCAAGGGAGGCGTGGAACCACATGCTCGTTGTGCTCAGAAGAGTATGGTATTTTTTCCGCAACACGAGGGCCAAAATCCTGGTTTACACGCCCCGAGCTTGCCGCAGAAACCTGCATGCAGGCTTGGATAAACTGGAATTTGATTACACGATTCGCCACAACCAACCCGGATGCCAATACTATGAATCGAAGGCATCAAATTTGGCGAGGCCCTTTTCGTCGCCGGGGTCTGGGCGTGCCTGGCACTCACCCAAGCCGCTACCACCGGAAGCATGCCGCTCCCTTGAAAAAAGGGGTTGGCCCTGTGTGTCTCTCTGTTCAGCTAGAACCAACAGTTTGCCCAGACAAGGGCTACGTACCTAAACTCGGCCCCCTGATTCTGATACAGCCCATCTTTGGGCCGTCCGCCAGCCGGAAAGCCGATTGCTGCCAAATGCATGTGTGGGTTGGACGATGCAAGGTTCAAATGCAGCTTTGTCCCACTTAGCACCCACAAGCTGAACATAGCAGATCCTTGAGCGCGCACCGCGGACGGCGTCCAAGCTTATGCCGCTAGGAACAGGAACATGTGCTTGCCCCTATCGTGCCGCCCACCTGCCGGCACATTGGACGACGGACCAGAGCCGCTTGCAAGCATCGGCAAAAACGGCACGATCCCGTCTTTCCCATGGCATGTTGGGGCCGGCATCGTTCTGTGGGTGCGGGTAGCCCTACAATTGTCTGGACCGTGTATTATTTGCCTGGGGTTTTCCCAACCCTATCTACCAATCATTGCTTCTAGACCTGCAATTCCGCAAACACGAGCGTCTGTCGACTCAGTAAGGACGCTGGCCCATTTGTTAAGCGCGCCTTGGAAGCTGGGCAGGCCAACAATTGTGCTAGTGGAAATGGATGGTATTTGGGCAAAAACCACATCGTCTGCAAGAAACGAACGCTCAGCGAACGGAGAAACCATCCAATACCACAGAGTCATGCCAGAGCGGGATTCCAAGGACCGTACTGGCGCACGGCGGCGTGGCCAGCGTACGGGTTACGAGGATATTAAACGTTACGCTATGGGCCCAACAAGGGTGTCGGCCAGGGTATTAGCAAGGGGGGCAGGGGTACATATTTCAACGCACAATCTGTAGTAGGAATCAATGTATTGTAATTCTAGTGGGTTCTGGCAAATGGAGGCGCGGGTAGCGGTACATTAATTTGGCGGGATTTTCTATGGGGCGAAATGTAGACTGGACGTGGCCTAATTAGGAAGGATCTGCGGGTCGTAACGTTTAATATCCTTATAACTTGTACCGTGCCTGTGCGTGGGAGCCCGGTAAAAAGCCGGCGAGCGGCGCAGGGGAAGGCCAATGGTAAATTTAGCACGAATGGTGGCGGCCACCTGCGCAGCAGCAAAAGACCAATCGAGAACGCGTAGAAGCTTCACGTATGCCGGGGCCCTTGAAACAGGGGTCCCTGCCTCCTTCCTAGCTCGTTTGAACGCTGCCAAGTGGCTGGCTGCCGCCAATCAGCTGCTAGTTGTCGATCCACACAGACACTGGCCCGCCCCCACCTCCCCCTGAGAGGAGCCGCCCAGATGGGCCAGCTAGGGCCCCACCTTGCTGGCGACATTGGAGGAGAGAGGCTTCGTCATGGCAGCTTTTCCCCCTTCGTCTTTTTTTTTCTTTTCGTCCAATTTCTGTTGGTACAAGAACCGAGGGTGCTGTGCTTCCCTGACCCTCATCGCTCGTTAGTCCATATTTTGGCTTCTCTTTGCGCGTGCGCGAGGATTTCCTTCACTTTCCAGTCTGCTGTCTTGGTTGTCAGGTAGAAGGCGTTGGATATAATTACT